TGGTTATTTTGGCTTCGACAACTAAACCCATGCTTAGCAGTAACGGCAGGGTAGGTTTAAGTTTTGTTTCACCTACATTGCCAATCTTTTCTCCGGGGGACTGGTACATGGAAAATCGCTCCAGGACTTCACAGGACAACACCCTGTCAAGGTACATGAGACGCGATCGCGGGGTATGTGTCGCGTATCGGTAATGCATCGCGTTATTTGCCGCTTAGGGACGCAGTGGTCGGCTGCCTCTGGGGAGGGGGAAGGGAGTTCTAGAGCAAGGTCTAACAGTGTGTGTTTAGCTCACCAGTCATAATGATTTGTGTTTATCCATTTTCCTCATTCTATGTGTTGTCCGGGCCGCGGAAGATGTAAGAGGCTCCAATACGGAAGAACTAGAGTTTGCTTCGGGTGAAAAACGCCGCGCCGTGCGGGTACTAAGTATGAATGGATGTTGTCGCTGTGAAGGCAATTCGCCTCCCGTCGTCCGTCAGTTGAGTGACGTGATACGACCAGATTACCCAGCATGCCTTAATATTGGTGAGCAAGGCCCGTGTGGAGAATCCTGAACTCGATTTACATTAGCTTTCACTATACGTTAGCTTTCACTTTTCTTATTATTAGCTGTTACGCCGTCTAGTATATTCTGGAAGGAAGAGTGACACGTTGTTTTAATATACACACCTCCATTCGCAACTGGAGACAGATAAAGTATGCCGGGCACATATCTGAATCCTAATGGCAGTGGCTCCAGCGGCGTTCTTCCTCCGCTCGAAGTGCTGGCGAAATGGCCAGCGCCCAACTACGATGATCCAATCACCCGGCCGAAGGTTGTACCCGCCCTAGCCGGTGTGCTTGGAACAATCATGATTATCGTTGTAGCAGCGAGGACTTGGGCTCGATTCTTTGTACAGAGAAATGGTGGACTGGACGACTGGATAATACTGCTTGCAATGGTATGAAAGAGAGAACCCCTTGTCTCCCTGTCTATACCCCGTCTATTAGTTGCTGACATTCGATCTGCTATACAGATTCCGACAATTGGGTTCACAATAGTGGTATGTCTAGGTAGGTAACCCCAAGAGAAAAAGGAAGAAAGAGAAAAGATGAGAGAGAGTCTTTTTCAATTCCAGCAAGTAACTAACATGAAGATATAGCAACCGAAGTTTACGGCTTCGACCGCCACATGTGGGACGTAACACCCAACCTCTACGTTCCCGAGCGCAAAATCGTCTTCGCCGTCTACCTCCTCTACATCCTCGCCGGCGGACTAATTAAAATCTCCATTCTCCTCTTCTACCGGCGCCTCGACGCGCGCTGCATCCCAAGCACCTTCCGCATCGCAACCTGGCTCAGCATCGCCATCATCACCATCTTCATCACCGCCTTCACCATCATCCTCTTCACCGCCTGCAACCCGCTCGCAGCCTTCTGGTACCAATTCGATGCGGTCCACCAACTCGCTGGTTACAAATACCACTGCTGGGTCAACGAAGAAGCAGACATCATGGCCGCCAGCATCATCTCCGCAGTGCAAGATGCAATCGCCGCTTTCCTCCCTACCTTACTCTACTGGAACCTGCAAATCCCCAAGCGCCAAAAGATTGCGCTGGGAGCGGTCTTCGCATCAGGTTACCTAGTTTGCATCGTCTGCATCGCCCGCGTCTTCGCCATCTACACAATCTTCAACAACGAACTCTACGACTCCTCATGGACCACCTGGCCCGCACTCCTACTCGCTGTCTTGGAAATCCAACTCGGTGCCATTGTGGCCTCGGCGCCCGCGCTCAAGGTCTTTGCTAAACATTATTTCTCGGGCGCCTCAGCGTGGGGCAGTGCGTCCGCACGGTTTACGTATGGGTCCGGCAGAGCGACGGATGGGAGTGTGCGCCAGGGTGAGTTTAGGAAGCAGAGTGATATGGCCAAGTCGGCGTCGACGATGGAGAGGGGGAGAGGGGGAGCGGAGGAGGATGACGAGGAGGGCGATGTGGCGTTGTTGGAGTTACGGAAGACGGAGACGAGGATAGTGGGGATGGTGTGATATCAGTTCTTTGTTTTTGAATTTTTCCCACCCTTTTTTTTTACCCTTTGTGTATTAAAAAAAAGTTAGATTTCACGGCCTCTCTGCAATTTTTATTTTCTTTCCTTGTACATATCACATCCTTTCTTTTCGTCTACTGTATTATCTCTCTCGCTTACACCCTTTTCTTCATTCATTCATTTGTATTGAGCGTCAAGACTAGATACACGACTTGCTACTTTACGTTGGGTCGAAGAAACTCGATAATTTCCTTAATAAGCGGAAGGAAGGGGGGGGGAGGACTGCAGTGTTCAATTAAAGAGGAGAAAAGAAAGTCGCAGGCAGACTTCTCAAGCAAACATCACATCGTCATCTCTCTCTCACATACAAACCCCTCAAGCCAAAATAAATATAGAAAAAGTTTTTGAAAAAGAAAGAATGGGTATCATATTGGCCAGTCTACAACAACCCTACAATTTACTCTCCCTAACCCTCCTCTCCTCCTCCACCGGCAACGCCCCACTCATCCACCCGACCCCTTCCTCCCGCCCATACAACACTCTCTCCCGACCCCCCATTGTACTCCACCAATTCACCGCTACACAACTACGCTCGGGATCCATCTCCCCACTCACGAGAACCTCCCAGAACCTTCGCTTCCCCACCTCGCGCATCTCATCGTCGTGGATCTGATTGAGCAGCTCCGCGCACAGTGGGAGCCACTCGTCCAACAAGGCGATAGGGAGATACGGGAGTGCGTCAATGAGGGTGAGTGCGAGGACTGCTTGTTCGGAGAGCGCGGGGGGCGGGGCGTCGGAGTCTTGCAAGGCGAGGGCTACGGCGTCAGGGGGAAGTGGGGCCGTAGGGGCATTGAGAGCGCGGTGATACACGATTTCCAACAGGGTAGCTGGGAGATCTGGGTGCGTTGCTGAGAGTGGCGATGGGGGCGCGGTAACGCGCATGAGGGTCTTGAATGCGAGTCGGAATTGGCGAGGGGAAAGGTTACCAGGAAAGACGCGGAAGAGGGCGTCGATATAGAAGGGAAGGTGTTTTGCGGTTAGGTTTGCAGATTGAGGGGCTGAGAGGACGGCGAGCATGACGCTGTGAGCGGCTTCGAAGATGGGGAGCATGTTGCGGTTTTCGGCTGCGGCGAGGTAGGGAACTGCGGATGCGACGAGGAGGTCTTCGTTGGTGGAGGGGGAGAGGACGAGGGTGAAGTGCTCGGCTGTGTTGAGGAAGTAGAGGTCGAGGATGCGGTCCAGGGGGTGGCTGGGGATTTGGCCGAGATGCTGGGAGGCAATTGTTTTGAGGAACTTGTCGGCGTGATTAGGATAGGCAGCGAGGATGTCGATGGCGGTGAGATAGACAAAGGTGTGCTGAGAGAAGGACGCTGGGCCTAGCCGTGATGTAATGAAGTAGAGATGGCGCAATGTTTGCAAGGCTTGCGCAGCGAGCAATGGGGCAACGGCATCGGCAGCAAGTGCCCTGTCAGCCAGAGTTCGGTTGAAGACGCCACGGAGAATGATAGTTGTGGCGAACAAGGCAGCCTTGAGAAGGTTCCACAGCTGTGGTGTGGTCTTGTGAAGCGCTTCTTCTTCCAGGTTGGCTGCCTCTTCAGCGGGCTCAATATCAGAAAACTTGTTCTGTCGCCATTGCGTTGTGAGCGCACGAGAAAAACTTGCAATATCGTCCATCATTGTCTGGATAATCCAGGGGTTCTTGACGTTCTCAACTGCATGCGCAATCAGACGCGACAGAGGTCCCATTGAGGCTACAAGCGGCCTATTCATGATTACCTCGACCTGTCTGTAGGAACTCGAGTGTGGCTATGTATGGTCAGCGCAAGATCCTCAACTCATCTACTATAAACTTACACTCCAATCCAGCTTTCCCGACTGAGTCGTCCGTACATCCAGATCCAAACCGCCCAGGAAGTATGCAGACTGAAACCCTTCATTGGAATAAAATGCCGTTCCAATGAGCACAGGGAGTAGCAAATCATAATCAAACTGCATTCTCTCCACATCCCCAATGCACCCAAAGGCATGATTAAGGACCAATGTTATCGTATGGCCTCCCAATCCATCAGCCTCGGAGCGTTCCCTAACTTCAACCAGGGCTAGATTCGTCGCCCGCACAAGCGCAGCTTCTACCCTCTTGCGCATCGCGGATGCCCAATACAAATCCATTCCTTGCTCTTCAAGATTGCCAATGCCAATCAACAAGCCCCCTAGTACAACCAGGTGCTTCCATCGTCGGCTGCGGTCGTCTGCGCCCGCAACTACGGCGCGCACCCATTCATCGAGCGACAGGCCTCCTCCCGTAGGAACCTGGCCAGGCGTAAGTTTAGGCGCCTTGTTAAAGCGCACATCGTTGTGATGATTAATGATTGTCGTAATAGCCGAGTGAAAGACAGAGAGCATGCGCAGGGGCGTCCGCACGCCATCAGGACGGTCCCATAGCGCGGGGGCAGTAAGCAGATGCGAAGTCAAAAGACTAAGGTTGTGCGGATTGCCGAGCGTAGTGAGCAGTGAAGATGCGGTTCCAAGAATGCTGCTTTGTAGTCAGTATATGCGGGTGTGTTCACATGGGGGGACTCGAGATGCATGCATACCGCGGCGTGTCCTGCTGATCTGTATATGTCTGGAGCGAGCGCAGCAGCGTCGATAAGAGGCGATCGACGGGCATGGTTAGGAATTCGAGGTAGCCCGTGAAAGGCTACGGCAGCTGGCGCATTCGAAGGCTTGTTCAGGGCGTCGTCGGAATGCGATGATGATGGGCTTCGGATGTTGACTGTTGCGCTCACGCGCGTCGAGCCGAGGTTGCGAGCTCGGGCCTCAGCCGCCGTCAACATTCATTTACTATGTCCGTGGATCGACGTCACAAGTATGGGGATAGTTAGTTGGACGCATGTGTGTAACTAAACACTGGGTACTACATACTACGGCTGTCGAACTGACTACCAGTCACGTGCGCCAAATGACCCAGAAAGCCATAACCAAACCATGTTGTTGCCCGAATGAGGCGAGTCTAAACCTGAACCCCTACCCACGTCAATTAATTACTTGTTTCGGCCCCTGTCCTCAAGTTTCCCCAACATGACTACTCTTCGAGTATATTCCACTCAATATGGTAGTTAACGAGTTCTTCCCCAGCTTCATCCAGCGCGTCAACTCGGCTGTTCCGCAGGGCTACACCACGCCTCCCTTCCCCTCGCTCTACTGGCCGCTGCCTGCTGGCGCACACCCATCTTTCTACCTCTATCGCCCAGACGACGTCCTGCGCTTCACAGTATACTGGAGTCTGCTTCTTGTTGGCGGTATACACCTGGTTGTAGCACTATGGGCGTGCGGAGTACAATGGCGCAACTGGAAACTCATATGGATTACCGTGCCCTTCTTCACCGTTGTTGGGGGCATTGAAGCGCTGATTTCGGGCGCGATTGTCGGTGGACTGTGAGTAACCACTCTGTCTATGAACAAGGCACAGAGAGCGCATGCTGACTTGGGATTTAGTATTGGAGGCGTCTATCAAGCTGGATATTTCGAAATGTCTACCTGGATACCCTTTGTATGGGCCGTTATCAACACGCTGGTACTCATTCTGTCTTCCTTTGCTATTTACGGTGGTCTCTGATGCGCCGACGCGACTGGAGTACACATCAACGCGTCCACACCATCCTCTGCTGGTAGCTCATAGCGCCGGCCAAGACACGCGACCTTTGCCTGGGCTCGTGGATGTGTTGAAAGCAACGATGTCTTGATAACGTATCGGAAATACTTGCGGGATTGCCCGACAATAGGCGCAAGATCAGCATTCAACGACCCGTCCCCAGTCTCTGCACGGATTTATATTCCCATATAGATCAAAGTCAGCTGCGGAGCTAGTCCAGTGAGATACACCCGCAGTCCCTGACGCAAAGCACACTACATGCACTTTGTCGCAGGCTTATCGAGGGACATGAGAGGTTGCGCGGGCTGAAGGGGAGGATGGAATAACTGGCCATAGTTCCATTGGGACACCGAGTATACGAACATAGACTTTGAGGATACCATTCCAAGAGGAAAAAGGAAGAGACTGAATCGTAGATCATATATTATCTCGAGTCCATCTTAGCTAGATTTACTAAGCTCATACTTAAGTATTCAATCCAACATTACAAGTCGAAAGCTATTCAATAGCTTCGCACATGAACAACGCCATCTGCACACGCCTTTTATCCTGCATGAATCTTAAACCTCTGCTTTACCTGCTTCCTACACATGGGACACTTTGTCGGACGCGCCGGTATATGTCCATGTCTAACTGGCACCACGACATCCGCACACCACTGACACATGACCATATGACCGCACGGCAACACAGCTATGTCCGCCAGCTGCTGGTAACATACCTGACACGCTAGCACCTTGGTCATTTCCTCCTCAGACTTTGGCGGCGGCCGATCTGGCTGGTTATCTAGGGAGACAACCGGGGGTGAGGGTGGTCGAGCAGCGCGCATACGAGCAAGTTCCTGTTCAAAATCCAGACGTATATTGTGCATTTCTGCCAGCGGCTGTGTAGTTCCCCCAGCTATACCAGACAACTGAGGACGAATATGCGACCACCAACCCGTTGCTATAGGGGCAGCTGAGCTGGATTCGCCATTAGGGTTCGCAAATATGGCGCGGATGCGTGCTTCGTCTTCTGCCTGGCTTTGCCGGTACGCAACCACGAGCCTCCGCGCTGCTTCTGTGCCTTCTGCGCCGCTGTTCTCGAAATACGCCATGCGTTCGGCGGAGACGTCGATTTCGCCGCTATTGCGCAGCCAGCGGACTTCGGTTACAGCAGCGTCTTCGCCATCTACGCCTCTTCGCCGCGGGGCATAGCTCCACACTTCAGTTGCTGGCTCCAGGCTCTCAGAGATGGATTGCGATTCCCGCATTACGCCCCAAAGTAATTGTTCTTCGATTTCACGGCGATCTTGCAGTGATAAGCTATCGAGCTGGGGCGCAACCTCTGTTCCCTCTGCTCTTCTCTGTTCGGCTTGGCGATGGCGGTCGTACGCTCGTGTGTACATTTGCGTGAGTGGTGACTCGTAGTCGTCCTGCTCTAACTCCTCGCGGGACCCAAATACACGAGCAAAACGTTCTCGTGCGAGCTGCATTTGTGCTTCTCGTCGTGTCATTGGTCGTGGCGGTTCAGAGGGGTCCTCTTGGATCTGAGGGGTTACCGACGATTGGGGCTCTGTAGGAACAGTTGAATTGACATTCGGGGTTTCTTCAGCCTCTCGAAGCAGGTCGTCCAATGCGTCCTCTAGGCTCTGTTGCGGTTCCTCCGGTCGATCTTCCTCTGATGTCAGCCTTCGCCTCCTAAGCCTATTCTCCGGCCTTAATGCATTGTTCTCTACGCCAGCCCGCAGCTGATCTAATGTTCGGGGTAGGAGACCTGGGCTAACTTCATGAAAAGGCTCGCCTATAACAGCTATGCGCTGCTCTGTGCCATCAGGAAGCTTCGCGATGCGATATCCCTGATGAAACTCCCACCATCGCTCTAGGAATTCGGTCTGATCCGGTATCTCGGGTATGCGTGTTTGCGCAATCTCAAGTGGTGGGTCTGTAGCGGCAAGGCGATTGCTCCAGAACTCTAGGTAAGGGTTAGCTGACTATGACATTGGTTTGGATGCACTGCCGCCTTTCATACCTTTACAGAACCAGCAGTAGCCTTGCCACCTTGTGCCGCGATTTACAAAACCGACTCCATCAATGTACACTCTATATGTTCTTGAATGAACGCGCTCATCGGCGCAAGCACAGCAATTGGGCGTGGAAGTCAGCCTACAGCTGGTGGCAAGCTTGTGCGGGCAATGAATGTCGAGGCGTGGGCAATCTGCGGTCAAAGTGCCCATAATGAGTAAGACGAGAGCGTGGAAGAGAAAACAAGGGCGAACTTTACAAGATGATTAAGTAAAGGCTGGGGGTTTGGGGGATGATCAAAGGGTAAACAGCTTCGTGACGTTGGGCGGGTGGCGGACGCAGACGCGCAGTTAGAGTCGGCTCGGCTGCTTGCCCTTGGGAACCCTGCATAAACCATGGCGGGGCGACGCGTGGGTCGGTGGGGAAAGTGGAGCGTGCCGTTACCGTGACTCCATGCCATTGCACATCCCTACCACTTGGCCCAACGGCCCGTCACCACAACTGTCGGATCCCTGCGATATAGCCAACGTCTTTGTTGGAAGTGAACAAAGCAAAGTGTGTTTCGGCCGGTTCACCACTTAACTTCAAACACTCCAGGCCTATCAATGAAAATTACTTCCCTGTGTAACGTGACTTGAGGTACAAAAGGTCTCTGGTGCCTTACACCGGTGTTCGATCCTATCCAACACTCCCACTAGGCCTACAACACCACCAAGATGCGCGCGGAAATCCATAACTCAAACGAGAGGCCCTCAACCAGGCCATCAGCTGCACTGACGCTAAGAGAATTTAACGGCAAAACCTTGGATCCCCCTCTCCCAGTCTACCTCCCCTGGAACCTCACAGCCCAAGAATTCACACAGATCCTCGACAGTCCCAGCGATAAACCAGCTTTCAAGTTTCCTGCACTTCGAAACTGGCTCTTGGGACTCTTTAGAACTCTGGATGCACAGAAAGATGAATCGCATCCGTTCCATAGGCAGCCGTATCGCTTGGAAGAGCTGACTATTGAGTCTGTAGACTGGTTCGACAAGAAAAACTATACGCGACTTGGATACATGAAGATTCAATCTGAGATCAGAAATGGATCTGGTGACGGCGATTGGATACCTGGATCTGCGTTTTTGCGAGGCGGGAGTGTGGCTATTCTTGTAAGTCTTTGAACCTCTTTCCCTTTTCAATTTCTCTTTTAGCTTTGAATCATAAATAATACTTACAACGTGTTCCAGGCCATCGTACAGCCAACAGATGCCTCTGGCGAAGCCGAGAAACACGTTATTCTGACTGTCCAGCCTCGCCTGGCAGTTTCCAGCCTGGCTTTCACCGAGATTCCAGCGGGTATGCTAGATGACTCGGGCTCCTTTACTGGAACAGCAGCACAGGAGCTGAAAGAGGAGGCGCACCTTCATGTCAAGATAGCTGAATTACTGGACTTGTCTGAACTCGCTTTGGAACAAGGACAAGCTGATTCCTTGACCCCAACCGGCCAGCTACGAACGGCGATGTACCCCAGTCCTGGTAAGACCTACTTTATCCCCTCTCCAAGAAAAGTTAATCTAACGATAGTGTTCTTCTCGCTACAAAGGCGGATGCGACGAGTTCATGAAACTCTACCTGTACCAGAAGCGTCTGTCACGTGCGCACATGGAGTGGCTCAAGGACAGGGCGACAGGACTGGAGAATGAAGGGGAGAGGATAAGACTGAAACTGGTTCCTCTAGAGAAATTTTGGAGAGAGGCTGCGCGCGATGGCAAGGCACTATCTGCACTGGCGCTGTATGAAAATCTTAAGCGACATGGTAGGATTCCTGATATGCCCAAGAAACCGGCGGAGGAGCCTAAGATGTAATCTCGTATTTCCAAAGCAGGGGTTTGAGATTTGAGTAGAAGTACACCACTCAATCACCACGAAGATATTATAGCGGAGAATGAACAAGTAGCCAATTGTGTTCGTTTCCATTATGTACATTACATCTCGTCATTTCCAGACTTGATATCCCAACCAAACCAAATAAGCAGCCTAACCATGTATCCTAATCCATAATTATACAGTGTGTCTGAACTAAACAACCCGCAAAACCACCTGCCTTATTGGAATCAAGAAAAAAAATCAAAACCAGAACCTGCTACTACATATCAGAAAAGTTGAGTAGCCACCCCAAAAATTCGCACCAACATCCTTCAAATCCTCACACCTCCATGCTGCAACTTATCCGACCAATCCGGCCGATACTTTGTCTTCATATGCTGCATCAAATCCACCAATGATGCCGACAGCGCCGCCGAACTCGGCCACTTCCACGACGAAAGCTCCAGCACTAGCAACGCATTTGAGTAAAGCTGAATTAGATTACCCCCGAATATCGCTGGCATGTTTTGTATGAGCACCGTACCCGCGTAGTAGACCCAGTATGGAGTTATGAAGACGTGGATGCTGCCGCAGCTTACTACTGCCTCTCTATATTGGGATTAGCTTGGGAGAATGGGGTAGGAGGTGTGTGCGTGTGTGTGGAAGGGACCTACAAGACATGCCATGCGCTTCCCCAGCAGGGGTTCAGCAGAAGATGCGTCATGTGCAGTGAGAGGCGTATGACAGGTGATAATTCATCTTTCTCATCAAAAAGCGGGAGCAACTTTTTTACGCTTTCTTTGGCTGGGAGATCACCCTTTCGAAACCGGTTTTGCATGCGGAATAGGGAGCAGAGATACTCGGCGGGCTTGTTCTTGTCGAAGCAGAGTTCTGATTCCTGTCGCTATGTGAGTCATGTGGGGAAAGCAGTCGAGAGTTAGGATGGGTTAGACGTACGGGCTCTGGGAATAAGGCGGGACGATCAAGGGTTGAGGCGAGTTGGTTTTCAAGACAGTAAATTGCCATATGCATGGCTCGTAACATTTCAACATCGTTGGGTTCAAGTTCTTGTAGGGCGCGCTTGGATTCGAGGTCGAATGCTAGGCGTCCAGCGAGAGCGACCTGCTGCCCGATATTACCCGTCAACGGATCAAATGAACTGTTGATGGCAAGGAGCAAGACGGAGCGGATTGTGTCAATGTTAGGTTCCAATGTTGCCAGTTCCAGGTGCTCCATAGCGTCGGCAAAGTATTGAGTCGCCAACGAACGATATCTGATTGAGTTGGCTTGGTGATAGGCAAGCCTGCCTGAAGGGCTCCAGCCTTGGTTATGTGGATGTTTTTTGCCCGTGGTGGGAAGAATGTAGCATGCAATAGAATAAATCATGTACAAGGCAAATAGCTCGGTCGAATTGAGATCGGTGGGTAATTCGGGCTGGAGGTAGCGCAGTGAAGGGTCCAGAATAGGATAGAGAGGCTGCACAACCTCCAGATACAATTGCTTAAGCTCATATTGCTTTTCAGGAGAGTCCTTGTTCATGCATTGCCAGTCGTCGAGTTCGTCGTCGGCCCGCCCGCTGCATATGTCGTGTGCTGTGTGCAATCTGGGCGACTTGACTAGACACGACTCTGCACCCAGATAGCGATAGCTGTTTCCAGCCTCTGCAAAATGGTGCTCATACTGCGCAACATCGGGCGTAAAGGCGTCGGGCTTGACATTCACACCGAATGCGCTGCTAATCCCAGGATCAATCGGGGCTGTCGGAGAGGGAAGCTCACTGGATAATCGGCGCACACGATCCACCAGCCCACTGATATAACTGGTGATTCGGTTAGCCGGAGTCGGGAAGATGTGCACGCACGTTTACCTTCGCGGCAGCAATTCGTTGCGTCCGTGGTCGTAGAACATGCACTCGACTCCGGCTTTTGTGCATTGCCTGTGACGGTGAGCGAAAAATGCGCGTCAGGTAGGACGGCGAAATAGTGTACCTGCACTTTGGCAAGAGTGTATCACAGCCGCGGCGACACTCTCGGCACCTCTTGCATGCGGGCAGACTCTGGGGAAGTTGAGTGCACGATCCTCAAATGTGGAGGCGTCTGGGGTTACCTGAATCAGCGCCTCCAGATCGAATGCTGGGGGACTGGCGCTGGCCGTGGCTGCCATCAGGGCCAATATGTAAGAGGACTGGAGGAGAGAAGTCCGATAGCTAGCAGCACATGGGGTTCGAGCTGGGATTCATTGCACCCAACCCCGTCACCAGAACGGGAGATCTGGAACGCAAATCGCATGTCTGGGGGGGCAGGCGATGAGGGCTAGCGAGGAACAGGTGCATCTGGTAAGCCTGGCCCAAACCAGCAGTGATCGGCGGGGGCTGCATCATCCCGCGTGCCCTCAGGTGCTAGCATCTTGTCCCTGGACCACGAAGACCAACATGATAAACTGTCGCCTCCTTTTCCTCCTTTTCCCAGCGCAATGAAATCCACGTCGTTGTGGTACAGACGCCTACCGCTCGTTCTCGACTACCATGCAGAGCCGTACGAAAGTCCGTCGCCGTGTGTTGGCGTGTGCCCGTTGCCGCAAACGCAAACTATCAGTAAACACGACCCTCTCCTGATACCTGTGTCTATTTACTAACAGCGGCTAGTGTGACGGCAAAGTACCCGCCTGTTCGCGCTGCGTCGGTGCGGGAGTACAGTGTGTCGGATTCGACTCGTTGACCCAGCAGGAGGCTCCGCGATCCATCGCCGATTTCTTAGAAGCCCACATTGCAAGGCTGGAGAACCGCGGTGCTCAATCAAATGCCACCTCTTTGGCCCATCCGGCCGCTGCCATGCCGTCGCCTGCAGATTCGAATTTCTCTGACGCAAAGACCACGCAGTGGCGTTCAGACAAGTGTGCTTTTGCTGACAGCCTAGTCAACCAAGTTATGGAAGACATCACGCCGTCATTTCTCGGTGTCTGCAAGGCCCGACCCTTCCTGCAGTGCGTCATCAAGGGTACCAGGCTACCGTCCAAGAAGGGGCCTGTCCTGTCCAATGATCTCAACGAGAACCACCCAAGATCCATATTGAATCCACAACAAACCAAAGGTCTTTTCTATGATCTCATGCCAGATGAGGTTGGTGCAAATAAACTCTTACGGAATTATCTCGACCGGGTCATTACGCAGTACCCTATTTACCATCGTAACGATGTGGCCAAAGCCTTCAAATCCGTCTACGACAAGAGTTCTCCAGCCTCAGATGCAGGCGAGGACTCATTCCGCAACCGCTACATAGTCTGCATAATAATGGCCATATCCCTGACCACTAGTGCACGGAACAATGTGTGCAAAGCAAACGACCTCGCCTATCAGCTTGTTCGGCACGCCATGCAGTGGATCCCTGAAGTTGCGACCAACGACATTCCTGGACTGCAAGCCATTCTGCTTTTGTCTCAGTACATCTTCTTGAACCCCAAGATGGCAGACTTGTGGCTTCTGACAGGCCTGATTAGTCAAGCAGTCATTGACCTTGGTCTTCATCAGGAACTACCAAATGACGCCAAGATCACTGCATACGAGCGCGACATGCGACGTCGCATATTCTGGTGTGCGTGGGAAATGGAGGTTGGCGTATGTTGCATCTTTCTACGGCCCGCAAGTTTGCCTATCAGACAGATCGAAGTCGCCTTCCCGTTGGAACTAGACGACACTGCCATCACTCAGTCTAGCATATTGCCTACTGGGCGCATATCGAAGTTCACACAACGCATAATTTGCCGGTTTCGCCTGATCGAAGCAGACATCATATCAGTCTTGTGGCATGGCGATCCTGTTTCCGACGAATTCACGTCCCTGGAGCAGTGGATTCAGCAATGTGTCGAGAACATAACGAATTGGCAAAAAGAAATATATGCTGCAGCCAACGCCAACGCAGACCAAAGCCTAAATGCACGGTGGACCGAGATGTGCCTGTACTCAGACATTGCAAGCCCATACATCTTGTCACTGTTGAATCGCACCTCACGCCGAATACCCAACCCGAGCAAGGAGCAAATGATGATTGCATTAGTGAATGCTGTCAGAGTTGCCGATGGCTACTTTCAACAATCCGAAGCAGAGGCTGGCAAGATCAAATACGTCTTCCATCCATGTCATCATGTTTTCAATTGCGCCCTCATATTCCTCCAAGGCCTGCAGCGTTGCAAACGAGACATCGCACGTCACTACTCATGGCAGCAAGTGCAAGATTGGATGCACGTCTTTTCAAAATGCTTCTTATCAATCTCTGAACGATGGTCAGCCGCGAGGAGATGCTATGAAGAATACGAACGATTGCTATTACCAGTAAAAGCCGAGTACCTGGAGTATTTGGAACAGAAGACCAGTCTTCATCCACCATCATTTCACAAGGCTAAATCGGATGCGAGTAGTGTGAGCGAATATCAGATACCGCCTTCTGGGCTTACTGAAGTTGATGAGGCTTATCAGTTTTGGACAATTTTCAATCCTACCACTTCGACGGTCGATGGCACGGACCCAGTTGGGACTTATCCGTATATCAACCTACCACCCCAGGACTGGAATGCGGAGTTTTCTTTGAATGTGAACGACAATGCAGATCTGATATTAGAGGCATCATGAAGACACGGCGGGTTTCGTTCATATCTTCCTACGCCATAGATTTTCGAGTTTCTGGATCAATAACTTTATCATTTCGCTATGGAGTACCGTCATTTTGGTGCCAGGGATGCTGGGACGTCTTAAAATAGCCACTAAGATGCCGACAGAGACTTCTAAAATGGGTATTGGTGGAAATCGGCCTTTCCTCATATATAGAGTATTGTTCGCCCAACTGCTAGTGCAAGCCTAGGGGAATGATCACGCATATTGCCCATTTTCCACCCCAGAGCCTCACCTTGTGGCTCGATTTCCACCACGTCAAATCCTCATTATACTCATCACCATTGGCGACGGGAATTCTCGCGCAATTAACAGACCTCGGCTTTCTAATGGCCAAATCCTCGCCTAGCATTGTTGTAAAGAATACAGTCTAGCATACGCTTGGAAGTGTTTTGCAGGAAACCTCATGTATCTGGGGTTGAAAAGCAGCCTTTCTGTAAAGGAAAACATGGTGCAGTATAGCTAGTCGATGTAAAACAACAATTCTTCGTCGCAAACTTTCATAAGGCCATGATGCGCGGGGCCATGCAACATGAAGCTTATATCTCCTTTTCAGTACGACGCAAGATATGTGATATTTTCCTATTTCAAAGTTCCAGATTGATCGTCTCCTCTACCTCTGTTGGCCTACCCATCCTTACAGCCGCCTTCTTATGCTTCAAATCCATTACAATGTTGAAAAGCGTTCCACTCCCAGTCTCCTCCGTCTCAACCCTGCATATTGAACCCGGTGCATTTTGTTCGTCTTCAAACAATTGACCCACTTGTTCCCAGCTGGAGTCTTCACCCAAAGCCGTAGCATTTTCAGTCATAGTTTGAAGACGAGTCAACGAATCTTTTAGCCATACTGTATCGGTTTCGCCCGGGTGTTCGAGAAGAAGATGGTTCGTATGAGTGATTTTTCCAGTGGAGTCTGGCGACAAGCGAACGAACGTACTCTTGGTAAACTCCAGTCCCACAGCTGTTGTTGCGTCGGCTATGAGGATGTGGGCTGACGATGCCATTCCGAGACTTTCTAGGGCCCGCACTGCTTCGTCCGCGGATTTGCTCTCTAAAGCCATGCGCAGGCCGAAGTGAGCGGGCATTTGAGTAGAATTTACACCGTGTACTTTTATCGCGTTGAATAGAGTGCCTACGCCACAGCTATTGAAGCCGATCTTTCCAATGATGCCTGCCTCGGTGACCTGGACGATTACTGGCTTATCGACTTGAGTGATTTTGGTAACAATGAGATTTTGCTTCTGCTCCGTCATCCACTTTTGCATGTCAGCCCGTCTATCTCGCCTCTGGTTTCTTCTTTGAACAGGAGACTCACATCCCAGTTTTGCGCCAGCCATGCGTGATTACTAGTGTGCCATGAGAGCGCTGTGCATCCATCGCTGAACAACCCAAAATTGATCTCAGTCCGGACATTCAACGCCACAATGTCTAATAAATCGCGTCTAGAGCCGTCAGCGATACCTTGCATCTCTTGATGAAACATTGGCCATTGCGCTTTAGCTCGCTGCTCAAAAACCGAAGCGTGTTCTAGCACCTGTGGCCATCTTTGCTTGCAATTCTTCAAAAACAGACATGCATAAAACTCAATGCTCCGATTGATTTGTAGTTTTGCAGCTTGGCCATGCTGGTAGCCGATCTATGCAGAAGTATTAGCAGAGACAGTAGGAGTAAGTCGCAGAGACGAAAATGACGTCACAACCCACTTGGTACGGCGACCCTTCACACTCGACGAACAACATGGCGTGGAAATCAGCCCAGAACTCCTAGGTTAGAAGCAAATCGACGTAGTGGTCTGCACAATCATACATGAACATGGAGCTGCCAGAGCCATCTACGTCAACTTCAATGCAGGCGACGCTCTCGGCAATGCCGCCTTTGCCCCGCCTTTTACGCGCTCGATTCCGTCTGACTTATCGCCTGCAACTATCATGCCTTACATTCGCTTATCTGGGTATGAATCTACAGTTGTTTCCACGTAATGTGCTGCACGAAGACGGATTTGGCTGCTGGGCCGCTGCAAGCTAGTTTTACGTACAGGCAACATAGTATAGTATCCGCTTTCATGACGAGTCCTTAGCATATCTGTGGCTCTACGGACCACACGCGGTGGAACAGAAGTGGCAGGGTAATGCCAATTGACCGGTATGTCGGTGTGTCATGCTTGTTGCTATGCCACCGGCTACAGTGGTTGAAGGGCCTTGGAAAATGATAAGAAGGACATGTAGCCCAGAAACGACCTGCTCATGTAGGATCTCCTTGCAAATCCAGTAAAGACATTTATCTCATCACTATGCCGAAACGCGTTTTGTGCTCATATGGTATCGATATTGATGCAGTTAGTGATAAGCATGAAACTTTTTAGGACAGGGCTGACTGCCTGCCCATGCTAGGTAAGCGGATGGTATGTTCACTTCAGATAATACCTAGTCTCTTTGACTAACATCACTCCAAGGCTGAATACTAAGAACGGAGACCCAGCCAATCCAACCGATATATCACGCGGTGTTTTTGGTGCAACCGTTGGTATCGATCGCCTACTCAAACTACTAGACAAGTACCAGATCAAAGCCACATGGTTCACGCCAGCACATACAGCAGAATCATTTCCAGAGCAGATCCGCAAGATAATCGACCAAGGTCACGAGATAGGCCTTCATGGCTACACTCACGAGTTTGTCTCGACACTCAGCGAGCAACAGCAACGAGACGTACTGGCAAAGAGCATCCAAGTCCTAACCGACATGGTTGGAAAAAAACCCCGGGGCTGGACAGCCCCAGCCTGGAGCACCAGCAAAGAAACCGTAGCCCTCCTCGAGGAATTCGGCATCGTACGTTTTCCTATCCACCACCCCTAAACCTTCCCAAACAAAACATACAAATATCTGACTTTGCACAACCCCCCAGGAATACGACCACTCCTTCATGCACCACGACTCCCAACCCTACTACCTCCCCTCCCCGCACCTAACCACCGCCACCACTACCTGCACCTCCCAACCCGCCTCCCACTGGATGCACCCCATGACCGCCCTCGTCCCCTCCTCCATCGTTGAAATCCCCGCAAACTGGCATCTAGACGACTGGCCGCCCTTCCAGCTCTCGCTCTCGCAACCCAGCACGCACGGCTACGTCGACACAGCCACCATCGAGCGACTGTGGAAGGAGCAGTTTGAGTATTTGTATCGGGAGTGTCCTCATGATGCGAGTTTTTGTTTTCCGATTAGTATTCATCCGCAGGTTAGTGGGAAGCCGCAGGTGCTGCTGTTACATGAGCGGTTTATTGAGTGGGTTAATGGGCATGAGGGGGTCGAGTGGGTTACGATGGGAGGGATTGTGGATGAGTACAAGGCCGGGAGGGTCGGGGGTGCGAGGGTGAGGGGTGGAGTTGGGGTTAGGGCGAAGTTGTGAGGTGGCTGAGATGGGGCTGTGGAGGCGCTGAGGCACCGATGATTATCGGGTGAGGAGTTTCTTTGATGGTTTTTTCTTTTTCCCGTCTTTTTGCGGAGAAAGGCTAGGAATAGCTACCGGCATATGATGGTATTGTGTTAGAGGCGGGCGGTGCGATGCATGTCGTGATATGTGCCGCTTTCCTGCATACCCGGTATGCATGGCTGCTCCGCTTTGATGCAGCATGCGCATGGGTCATGGAGAAGAGCGCAGCATGGGCTGCGGTGAAGTGCGGTAGTAGCGCTTATCCAGTTCAAGAGTGGGGTTGGCAAAACTAGTGTATACTGAATGATATTCTACTGGTATATCTGATACTTTTTAAGTCTGTGAATCTATGCTCTTGTCGTTCTGAGTTGATGCTGGACCAAGTGTGGATTCATAGCTCGTCTTTACATTCTTGTAGTACTGGATTACTTCGCTTGTACTACCTATGGATATTTGTTCTCGGAGAAGTAGTTAAGCCTGAAGATGGAGCAGCAATACGTCTCCTGATGTTCGGCTCCAATTGACCTTCTAGTTTTGTAAAGCGTCACTGTAACAGCAACGGTATTCTACATTCCCCCTCTTTTATTGTCTTGCTGAATTGAAATATTTTTGGAATTACTTTAGAGTGAATTACGATGAGTCAGGTCGGAAGTGAAGAAGGTATAGGTTACTGAAGCAATGCTGATGTGGAACTCTTGATATGCTGACATTCTTCAGTCGTTAGACGATCACATATCTTCTTGACAACACAACTGTCTCACGATCATACCATCTTCCAATTATCAATTAATAGATTACAATCCAACTAATCAGATATACAGTTCGAAGCCTATCCCCGACTCAAACCGTCCAGTCTTTTCGCCTACAACAGTCTCTACCCAAACCACAGCCAATCATACCAACCTCAAAGACAATAAGGACCAACAGAGCTCGACCGGTTAACATAGCACGTTAGGTTACAGCACTTACCCGGGTGATCCATATTGCAGGGTTGGCCCGGCGCAGCACATACAGGTGGCTGGCTCTCGACGCAAGCAGTTGCGGTTGTAGTGACACTAACCGTCTATTCATCATCAGCCCGTATTCTTTCATATTTTTCTTTTTTCTGGGAGTAGGATTAACAAAACTTACCGGTGCAGGCGCAAAAGTCGTAACAGTAGTAGTGGCAGTAGTAGAAGGAGACTTTGGCTTCAGGCAGAGACAGCGACACGCATCAGCGATCTTTGCAGCAGGGAAACGTGCTACTTGGGAGGGAAGGTTTGTGCGCTTGTCGACCTTGATGCGGGTGCCTTTGTCAAAGGTCTCGATTTGGAAGTGTTTGGGTGGTAGGAATGCAGCGCGCTTTTGTTGGCCGCATTGGGTGCTTGTTACTGTGACTACGGCGGTGCTAGTGGTTGTCCTGGGAGATTGTCAGTAATCGTTGTGATTGAAGTGCGTATACGCGTTAGCTCCAAGTAGACTTACACGGGGGTAGGCGTGATGGTCGCTGTTACAGTGCTCGTTGTGGGTCTATTGATATATTCGCGGCAGAAATTTGTGCCTGGTACGCCGAGTTTCTTCAGGGCGTTGAGGATTTCATTGTCTTTTGTGCAAGTAGCGGCTTGCTGGGCTGCCGCTGTTGGTTCAGGGATAGCGACTCCGAGTACGCTGGTCGCGGCTATGAGGATGAGCTTGAGGGCGAGCATGATGGAGGTCTTCTAGGTGGGTTTGGAGAGAACTGCTTATCCACTAAGCATATGGCCGAGCTCGTTATATATACATTATGCTATAAAGTAGTGCAAATTACACACGATTCAGAGAGCTCGACTAAAGGGTATTTGGCGTCTAGCTCGCTCATATTCTTGTAGCGCTTTTTGTCGTGGCATATTGGTTTCCTAGTGAGGTCCTCAAGATTCGTTAGCGTACAGCCTCACGAACCCTTTAGGTAAGTAGGCGAGTCGTAACATAACATCAGATAAATATACGCTATTTCTCGGTAATCTAGGATGCGATGGCACTTCAGCCCCTGAAAGGGAAATTCTGTTCGCTTGTTTGTGCTCAATCTGGCCAGTAGACCTTCAAGCTAGCCGATGTGGCGCAATAATGGACGAGTCTCGCCAGGTATCAGGGGGTTACCAACTACCCATAGGACCTAGGTTTGCTCTTTATGGAAAGGCAGGCAACTCAAATAAGTAGTGCTTGTCCCTGCGAAAGAAACATAAAAGGATGGCGTTGGGTTTTATTGTCTTGCAGTCCGGCACGTGTGAAGGAAAACCTATAGAGATGATTTTAACTTGGCCAACAGGAAAGATTCCGTTTATGCTTATTCTATTGTTAATCTAGAATATTTGTGTGATGACGCTCTTGGAATTCAATAATTATCATGAGTTCAGAGCTTAGTGTAGAAGGTGGCGCAAGCGGACCAGATCACTGTCATCGATTCCTTTATTCCCGACATGCTGCAATCGATTAAGCACAGACAGCCACATCATAGTAGGAGGTATTGATAAGGATGTGATTCAACATTCACTGACAATAGAGTTGAATCTGCTGAAAAGCAGAAGAGGTAGGGACCGTCATGAATTTCGTACCAACAATAGGCAGGCTATAGTGTATATGAGAATTTAGCTGATCTATTGCCTTTCCAATGAGACAGCATCAGCATATGAGAAAACCTTATCAACTTCCAATCTTCTTCCCCAAGAGACATAAAACATATCTCAGGACTTCCAACATTCAGTTTCCAGCTTCGCCTGGCACTAAAGTCGGGGATTTCCTAGATAGGCATCACGTGCACGGGCCGCATTTCATGAACCAATCATCTACCATACCAAGGTAATCAGTCCCGCTCTGCATACATACGCTACAAACATACATACATCAACTAATCCCATAACCCAACCAAGAATAACCCAAAATGGATAACACTCCACCCACCAAAACCCCAAAGGCTCAATGGCGCACCCTCTCCCCCACCAATCTCCCCAACCTCTCCCATATAGCCGCAACAATCCACCCAGGCCTCGCTGAACGCGATACCGTGTTCCTTGAACGTATAACGTTGTTTCCAGCAGGCTGTCTCGGATTATTCGAAGAGGAGTCCAACAAACTATGTGGCTATCTAATTTCGCATCCGATCCGGCACCAGGAACCGCCCGAGCTGGATTCGCTGCTCGGAGAAATAGCAGCAGATGCGGATCAGTATTACATTCACGATTTGGCTATTTTGCCGGGAGCTAGAGGTTCTGGTCTTGCGCAAGAGGGAGTTGAAAGGGTATTGGGTACGGCGGCTCAGGCCTACGAAACGATTTGTCTGGTTTCTGTATACGGGACAATGTCATTTTGGGGGAAATTTGAGTTTGAAAAGCCAGACGTCGTTAGTGCAAAGTTGAGTGAGAAGTTGCTTGGTTATGGGGATGGCGCTGTGTATCTTGAACGGAAGAATGGGTGAGAGTGTAGTATGAGTGTGGATTGTGCATGCCACATGCCCGATGCGGCGATTACGTCATTGTGGCTTGAAGCAAAAGCAGTCATGGCAAGACCAAGATGGAAGGCAAGGTTTATGTAGTGGCTGTTTTGGCCTGACTGGGCAAGTAAGAGCCGCCCCGCACTGTACTAGAGTAATATACTAAGAGCAGGGGTGTTCAGACGCATAGAGTGTACTTGAGAAACAGATGGTGTTAGATTGGACATTTATTTATATTGGCTGTCATCTAGATTATCGGAACTTGGAGAGGCTGCTTACAAGCTGTCTAAATTTAGTCAAGCTTAGAATTTGCAGAGGGATTGCAAAGTGTCCTTGGTGGTCTTCGAGGATTCCTTGACGATGTTGATGAGTGCCTTGAATCTGCGGGGTGTTAGGTGTTGTGAAAGTCATGCGGAATCATTTGGCCACTCACTCGGGTGTGCCGGCTTCTCCAAACAATTCGTACAAAAAGCTCTCGCTCGTGGTAACAATGGCACCTTCGTGTCTTAATCTTGCCAGGGCGATTGGAATCTCTTCCTTGTTGCAGCTGCTCACGCCGTCTGCGATGACATACACCTTGTGCTTTCGCCTGAGAAGATCCAGAGTGGTCTGGGTGATGCAGATATGGCTCTCGATGCCGACCACGATGGCGGACAGCGGGCCGGGGGCGTTGAGAGAGTCGAGGACCTTTTCAACTTCCGGGGTGCTAGAGAAATCAGCCTGAATTCTTAGGTCAATGGCATTGAGACATGCATCATGGAGAAGAGAGTTTTGTCAAGATGACAAACAGTCTTGAAGCCATCGGGAGCGTCCAGCTTCAGCTCTGGACACGTCTCGCCCAAGCGTGCACGATTTTGCGTAGTTGCAACGACGGGGATGTTCAGCACTTGGCCTGGGGGGGGGGGAGGGGGGTGTTGGTCAGCAGCAAGCGAGCAGGGTCACGGAAACATGCAAGACGTACTTGCTCGGAGCAGCTTCTGTGCCGTTGCAATCACCTTGGGGAACTCATAGATGGCGGGGCGGAACTTTTCTTGCAAGTCGCAAATACTGGGATGTTATGAGCGTACATGGTGGTGGGTGTGGGAGTCGTCGGAGTCATACAAGAGGGCGGGGTTCGCTACGGTCCATCAGCCATGTCGGTGCACATGCAAGGTGGTTGCTCAGCCGTCAGTCTATGTATATACCTATGCGCTGCGGGGCCATGGCTGAAGAGGAGAATGTGCGAGGGGCAGGCACAAGAAATGTTTTCAGCGGGTTGAGGGTGGGGCGTCTGTACAGCATGCGTTGGAGGAGCAGAAACGGGGCATGGTGCGGCGCAGTCATGGTGGCGTGCAGGCGGAGCGGTGCAGCAGCCGCCATGGCCCGGCTAGAGTACAGCGACATGGACATCGGCTGCGGCTTCCCCTGGAGTTCAACGCGCCTGCCGTTTCTGCCACTGCGGCGGCCGTGCCCCGTGCACCCCACGCACCTGCCGCCCGCCGTGGCCTCTCCCCTCCCAGGAATATTTCCGGCCATGTGAAACGGGCCCGGATTGCCCGCATATTGAGCCCCAATTTACTGCGTCAAAACATTTTCCCTGAGTCGGTGCGAGCCCTGGCATAACCACACGAGATTGTCCGAGACGGCCTCAGGAGAGGGCCGCACTTGGCTGCCGGCAGCACGGTGCTGTCCCTGCATCCGTTCGCGCGGTACAGTCGGTCAAAGTGAGATGAGATGAGCGTCAGACGAGGCCAAAAATACTCTTTTTGCTGTGCGAAGGCCGGTCTGCAGCAGCTCTTTACGGCCTATATGCGTATGGACGTACAAGGCACAGTGCCAGTCCAGTCCGTCTGACCTGGCATCCAACACGCCCCCCTACAATCTCACCAGAAGCTGCCATCCCTTGCCATGTACGCAATAAGGGGCTCCAGCGCCGCCTCCCTGCCGCCCAGCGTGCTACTGCTGCTACTACCACTGCTGCTTGGTGCTGATGCTGCCCAGCCAGCGACTGTGAACCCGACTCTGTGCTGCTGGAAGGATAGACGAGAACTATCCTTGGGACATGGCCAGGTTCCGCCTAGTCAGCAGCGTTGGGGCTGACGCAGTTGGGGTGCTGAGCATGTGTAACGCGCTGAAGGTGCCAGTTGACCTAGTCGATTGCATTATACCTAGACTGAACGACGGTGGCGCTGTGGGCGTGTGCTCTTCCCTCTGTCCTGTCTTTGCTCTCTGCTCCGAGCGCGGAGCAGGCTTCCCGACGTCGTAGCCATGGCCGTCGTGGTTAGTAGTCGTGGTATTAATCGCTGCGATGTTGGTGCAGGAAGCCATGCAGTGGTCGAGTCTTGTCCAGATATCCAGGTACATAGTACTACTAGCTACATACGCAGATACTTTGCTGCACCCACAGCCCCTGCCCCGCAACGACGCAGCCCTCATGTGCTTATTAGATTGGAGTGCAAAGTGCATATAGTCCGTCGAGAAGGCGCCCCTGTCGTCAGTCACGGTTCTGGTGTAGGTGACGGCACGCGCCCTCCCCAAAGCGCTCTAGACGTAGCTCTGTGCGTTTATCCCCCGTTAGGCCTACGCCCCATGCATTATACGTACTTTGTACTTACATACTGCAAGCAACAGAACCTCGCAGACAGACTGTCGCCCTTTTCTTCTGCACTGCTTCGCTCGCTGTCTGCAGTGCCCATCCTCCCCACCCACTACCACCTGCGTCTGGCCCGTTGATTAGCGCCTGGCCCGCCCAACCACTCAGCGCCCCCCATTCCCACCACATCGTTCCCACAAGGCCAGCCCAGCAGGGGTTCTCTCCAGCACCAGCACCAGCACCAGCAACTCGCTCGCCCGCTCAATTCAAGACGACACTCGCTGCAAAAGCGCCCGCCTCGCCCACGCGCTGCCTCGCCCTGCTCTGGAAGCATTTCCCGCCCTCCCTCTCCCCTTATCTTTTGTCCTCTGCCCTGGCACAGTGAGCAGCGGCAAAAGCCCCTCCCGGAGTACCGCTCGATTTCCCCTACCCATCGGCCACTAAAGTTTATGACCAACCGCCGCCACAACAACCCCCAATATCTTTACATCCACCATCCCCAGCCCATCCACACCGACTCCCGCCCAACAAAGGACCACGCCGCGGCCCTTTACTCGCCCACCCTCTGCCTGCCGCAGCAACCTCTGCGCTCGCACCTCCAGTACGCTCAGTTGCCCCCGTATCTGCTGCTGCACCCCTTCCTGCAGCTTGCGCGCATCGACGAAGTGCATCAATCCCTCTCGCACACGCCCTTTCCAGCCGTAATTGTGTCTCCCCACTCGCTGAGCCCGCCGCCCCAGCGGGACTCAGGCCGCACCCACTCCAAGAAGCCTCCCGTCAAGACGGCACAGGCACCCAAACATACCACAGATGGGCATAAGGATACAAAGCGCAGCGTGCCCAACTGCACGCCCACGGTGACATCAAACGGTGCTCCAAACATGGCAAGCAAGCGGGAACAGGCAGCTCCGCCGCCTCTCACCGACACACAGACACAGGCGCGACCACAGCGACCGTCTATAGTCTCGCACCACTCGAACTCAGTCCCCTCTACTCCCTTGCAGGTCGCCCGCAAATACAACACGCCCTCACGCTCGCCCTCGCCCAACGGCGGCCTGGGCGGCCATTCGCCACGCTCCGTATCCTCCGAAGCAAACGGCGCCATGCCCACCCTTAGGCCCGCTCGTCCCTTCAAGTGCAGGTTCGAAACCAATGTTGGCATGCTGGGCAGGAGACGAATGCCTTACCAATCAGATGAGATATTGGACAAGGCCAAAGAGGAGCCCAAGAAGAGCTTGGACCCCCACGAAGACGATAAGTTGAGCGGTGACATGCGCGAGCTGTATGACCGGTTACTGCCCAAGCAACAGGATAACGATACGCGAGAGCGCTTCGTGAAGAAGGTGCAGCGCATACTGGAAACAGAGTTTCCGGGCACTCAAATGATGGTCCATGTGTTTGGGTCTTCGGGCAATATGCTATGGACATCGGAGAGCGACGGTAAGTGCCACGCTTTACACTAAAAACTGCGCTAACCCTGGTAGTTGACATTTGCATCCAAACGCCCATGAAAAGGCTAGAAGAGATGCACCCACTGGCTGAGGCTCTCGACAAGCGTACGTGAACAATGTCACTTTGCTTGGCTGCGACTGACATTGACAGATGGCATGGAACGTGTCGTGTGTATTCCCGCAGCCAAGGTCCGGATAGTAAAAGTCTGGGATCCCGAGCTGCAGCTCGCCTGCGATATCAACGTGAACAACGTCGCCGCAATCGAGAATACGCGCATGATCAAAACGTACATCCAGCTAGATGACCGCGTCCGGCCATTGGCCATGATTATCAAATACTGGACAAAACGCCGTATCCTGAACGATGCTGGTAAGTGCACTGCAACACTCCTTGCTTCTCATTTAACCCTTGGCAGGCATTGGTGGCACAATCAGCTCGTATACGTGGATATGTATGATTCTCAACTTTCTTCAAACACGGGATCCGCCGGTTCTACCCAATCTACATGAGCTCCCTCAGCGAGCGCGAGATGGAACGACCGGTCAGCCGTCATTATCGAGTTTCGCCGATGATGTTGGAAAGCTGAGAGGCTTTGGTGAAAAGAACAGGGAAAGTTTGGGCCAGTTGCTCTTTCACTTCTTCCGTTTGTATGGTCATGAAGTAGATTACGAAAAAGAGACAATCTCGGTGCGTCAGGGTAAACGCATACCAAGAGAAGAAAAAGGCTGGCACCCGGGCGGTGGCCAGAAGGAAGGCGTCAACCGCCTTTGTGTAGAGGAGCCCTTTAACATTGAGCGAAACTTAGGAAACTCGGCAGATGACTACGCATGGCGTGGGATACATCTGGAGATACGTCGTGCTTTCGACTTGCTCGCAGACGGCCAGCAGCTTGACAAAGTGTGTGAGCAGTTCGAGTACCCCCCTGAAGAAAAGTCCAACGCCATCTTCAAGAAACCGCAGTCACAAAAGGCGATCATCACTTCAAGTGTACCAAGTCGCAATAGCCGAGGTGGTTCCAACTCGCGCGGAGGGAGAGGCGGTTTCAGCCTCAAGGGTCAGCATGGAAACAGCAGACGTTCTTCTAACAGCTCGAATTACAGTCAGGGTCGCCCACCCTTTCTGCACAGTCCACCCATTCCTGCAAGTGCTGGTCCAGAATACTTCAGCTTCCCTCGAGGTATCCACGACCAGCTCCATGATCAGCTGTACCAGCAATACCAGATGTTGGAAATGCAGTCAAATTCTTTGCGTGCACAGTTGGCCGCTCAGCAGCATGCTCAGCAAGCACACCAAGTAAGGGCTGCCCAGATGCATGCCCATGCCGTTGCCCAGGCACAAGCACAAGGACGAGCACCAAACAGCGCGAGCGGGTCACCTCAAAAGTCTCCGTATGTTAATGGGCGTCAAAGCCCTAGGTTGGCTGAGCGTGGAATACCGCCAAACGCTCTCCCTCAGGGATTCCTATACCACTACCCTGGCTTCTATAATCCCTCTCAGGTGGATCTCAACGGATCACAGGACGGCTCACGGACAAACCCATCTTCGCCATCTCTGAGCAGCAGCATGCCCGGTGTACATCGAGGTGTTCACCGCGCATCGAATGCTAGTGAGACAACCTCACTTCGTTCGCATTCGCAACCGCCACGTAACGCTGCTCAGCAGCCTGTCATTGTAGGGTATCCGCCTATGCCTCAGTTCGTTGACCCAAGCATGTTTGCCGGCTACCCCATCGCACGGTCTTCGCAAGATCTCTTAACTGCACAAGCCACGTCAGATGTTCCAGTGAATCCAATGGTTGCTCAGCAGGAGTCGGCCCCGTCTTCGGACAATGGCTCACCGAAGGACTATATAGGCTATTCCGTGGCAGAACAGCCGCAGCCGCAACCGCAGCCAACGCCGGCGCGCTCATTACAAGAGTACACTGTGTCGGCAATTCCATCTTTCAGCGAACTGGCCCAGCGCCGCAGACGGGTATCGCCAGAGATTACCCAGCCTCTTTTAAACACTGCATTGCGGCGGGTAACAAGATCACCTTCTCCATTAGGAGGCCATATGCGAAGTTATTCGAGCGGTGTTGCCCAGCCAAACGATGCCGTGCCTGAGCAGCGCAAGTCGCGCGTTGACTCCGTACGGCCTGCGCCTGTTGATAACGGTCCAGTCATTGTCAATGGCTCGTTTCCTACGCAACCCCGTCCCAAGGGTGACACATTTGACACCGCTCCACCTGAGGCGCCACCTTCAGCCCCGCTTGCCATGTATCCCGACGACCAGGCCATTCAACAAATCCAACAGCTCCAGGCACGTCAGCAATTAGTGCTCCAGGAAATGCAGAGGCAAAAAGTTGTAGAGAATATGGGGCCTCCAATTGTTAATGGATCCACGAATGGGCACCCATCAGTGGGTTTGAATGGCATGCAGCGCGTACCCAATGAAAACCAGCAGCCATTTCCTGCAGTTGGCGATGCCTGGGTAAACTATGAGATACCCAATAGTCACCACAGTGACCGAGTTGAAGACGTATCACCAACCCGCATGGTTCCTCAACCTCAGTGGGCTGCACCTGCATATCCCAATGGTCTTCCACCTCTAGAAACAACAAATGTGCAGCGAGCGCATCCCCAGGAGGTCAAATCTGCAACCATCCCTTTACTGTCACCGGTGTTTGAGACCCGCACGCCCTCTCCAACTGCCACACGTTCTTCCGAACTCAGCAAGGTTGTGAACAGCAGCAATGGGCACAAGTCACAGTCAAAGTCAAACAACCAGCAGCAACACCGCCGCGGATCGGTTACAAATGGATCGAACGGCAACGGCAAGGATAACCGCAATGGCCAGCAACAAAAAGCCACTCAAAACCACGAGCGCACAAACAAAGCGAATGCAGGAGGCTCTAGCCCTAGCTCTTGGCAACAACAAGCTCCCCGTAAGAAGGGGAAGAACAAGAAACCAAGGGCGCCAGAGCAGAAAGCCATGGGTGAGCCGTTGCCTGCCAATGCTGCTGATCGCAAAGGCGGTTAATACGTTTCCACTTTCGTCGTTTGAAGAATGCCTTTTGCGCCGGTTGTGACAGACCTTACCCGGCTATTTTTCTGGATATCTCGAAAGCAAAACAAGACATTCACTCTGGTTCGGCGATCCAGAATTTTCTTCGGTAACGTCTCTATGCCCAGGTCCCGCAAAGCCATTCGCTATTGTCAGGAGATGCCGTCAGCGCCCACGAACTGAACTGCGAAATGTGTAAGGAAAAGGAGAAAAAGGAGAAAAAAAGACTTGCGCCATGGTCTCCCACATGGCCTTGATGACGTTGGCATTGTCGTTATACTCGGCGTCGCGAAAAGGATGCGGCCGCGCAGAGCGTTGTTTGTTTCTCCCATTTGAGCGGCGTTGTTGACCTTTTGTTCGAGCGCGAAAACACACATGCATGTTATCGCATCAATTTGGAGTTTTTTGCTGTTATTTTTTTCACTCGTACGTTCAGGTTTCTCTCTTAGGCTCATTTCTTACGGGATATATTGGTACGGCAAAGCGTGTGCGTTTTTTTCTTTTTAACCTCAAACACTTGAGGTCGCAGGCTGGAAAAGACGCATGTGTGCGTATGTGTGTTCATTCATGGGCTGGCTCATTGTGATGGTTCTTTTTTGTTATTATGGGATTTTCTCGTCCATCTCATGGGGGGAGAAGGGGTCCTAAATCATTGGTTCAAGGGATGGTCGGGCGACGGTGGGTGGAAGGCGCCATGTATAGATAAAAAAGAACGACCAAGAACAGTGGTTGGTGATGGTGGGAGGGAGGGGACAAAGGGTCCAAATGTCCATATGGCAATGGCTTTTGCTTTGTATCTTTGATGTCTTCCGCGGATGAAAAAAAGGTAGAGAAATGATAAATTGTTAAACGTTATGAAGGCTGGGTTTGAATAGTATGAAGTAGAGGTGCGGAAATCATGGTGTATATTTTCTACCTGGGGGTTTTCTCATGAATGTTGATACTGTGACTTGTCTCCCCTCACCCTCTCATACAGAAATCCCGTATGCAGTATACTATCTCACTTTCTCTATCTGCATCGCAAGTATCCTTCTTCCATCACACAATACTCTCTTTCATTCTTTCACTACCAATCAACGCAGAGTAGAATACTGCCTTAGTCGCAGTCTAGTCTAGTATAGTAGTCTTTCTTTGTAGTGGAATCCGTGGTTTGGTTGGAGATAAATGGAAGAGGCGTATTGCTTGAATACGGGAGGGAAAGGGTTGTGACTAGGATGGTGGTGAACCTCAATGCATGGCGTGATGGGAAGGGTGGGATGGGGGTTTGTTTGTGTGGATTTGATGTGTTTTTGAAGAGCAGGCATGTGATGTCTCGGTCTGGTGCTTGCGATTGTGATTATTTGCTTGGTTTAAATGGCGGTGTTGGAAGCTTTTGGGGGGTTTGCATTCCTATAGGTGCTTTTTGTAGCAAGAGAATGCGAGGTGTTTGGTAATTTTGTTGTGTGGATTGGTTGGTCGGAGATGGTGGTATATTTTCTTACGTGGATGGTGTGCTAGTATCGCGTGGTTATTATGAAAGTCCATGTATTTGGTGATGCGTAAACTTTTGGAGGTACATTCTGGGGCTTTCGAGTTCTCTTTCTTTATAACCTTTTATGTGAAGGACATGGTATTCGCTGAAGAGGTCAAAATATGAACGATTGTATGTAGTAATGCTAAAAACAACGTTTTTGGGAGAGAAAGTCTGTGGGGGTTTTTCTTTTCCATTAAAACCCCAGTAATTAAGAATAACTATTTTTCTATAGAGCCATTTTGTAAAGTTCATTCGCTTGCAGTCATTAGCTAGTCCAAGTGAATGTTGACAATGACGTCATTTTTGTATCTGCTTTCATAAGTGTCGGCTCAGCGCGCTGTTGTAATGCGCCTCGCCCTATACGGCATTGGGATGATCCAGCCAGTGGAGACACACCGAAAGCTAACGTACATATGACGATGAGACTGCGCACGGTTTGATACGGAAAGAAATTGTTGGTCTAGAGCTCCGCGACTTCCGATGGTTCGATCTTGCACGTTGCATGCCTGACATACACTTATTACAACACCACATTGCAAACTCAATTTCTGGAAAGATTCCTTCTTCGTAAAAACATCATATACGGAAACAACTTTTTTCCTTTTCTGAAACAGAAATACCCTGCAAGGCTGGGTACTTCTTTTGGCTGACGTCATATTGAGACCACTAAATCCTTTCTTGATACCGAAAACAACATGCCGGAAATAATACTCTCAATCAACGCGGGCTCATCTAGTGTCAAAATATCAGTATACAAGACACCTGAAAATGGCTCTTCAGTACCAGTGCAACTTGCCGAGGCGATCGTCGAAGGCCTGACCGCACCGCCTGCAAAATTAAAATACGAGCGCGGCGACGAGAAGATCAAGGGGAAAGAGCTGGAGAATGTCAAATCGCAGGAAGACGGGTTCCGATATATCCTCGAGCACCTGACGAATGACAAGGGCCTTAAGGAGCTAAATCATACAGACGACATCCGATTCACATGTCATCGCGTTGTACATGGTGGTGATTATCCCAGAAGCCAGGTCATTGACAAGGAGACGTACCATCACATTGAGGAGCTCTCTGATCTGGCACCACTTCACAACGCTCCCGCACTTACTATTGTTCGGGCAGTAGCAGAGGCTTTGCCGCATGCTAAGAACATTGCGTACTTTGACTCCTCGTTCCACAACACGCTACCCGATTACATATGTACATATCCCATTGACCAGGAAGTGGCGCAAAAGAACAAGCTTCGAAAGTACGGGTTTCATGGCATCAGCTACTCATTCATCGTCAATGCTGTAGCCGAGCATCTCAAGAAGCCGGCTGATCAGGTCAACATCATCGCACTACACCTTGGCTCAGGCGCCTCCGCTTGTTGCATCAAAAACGGAAGATCACTGGACACAACCATGGGCCTAACTCCTCTCGCTGGCCTGCCGGGTGCCACGCGTTCGGGATCTATTGACCCGTCATTAATGTTCCACTACACGCACAACGCGGGAAAGCCATCGCACAGTTCCAGCGAGAAGATGCACATCACTCAAGCAGAAGAAATCTTGAACAAGCAAAGCGGATGGAAGAGTCTAACCGGCACCACGGATTTCGGTAAAATCAGCTCCTCGGATCGGTACGAGGACAAGCTCGCTTTCAACATCTTTGTCGATCGCATTCTCAACTACATCGGCCCGTACTTCACCAAGCTGGATGGCGAGGTGGATGCGCTTGTCTTTGCGGGAGGAATCGGCGAGAAGGGGGGTAAGTTGAGGCAAGCGGTTGTGCAAGGCGTCAAGTGTCTGGGGTTCGCAGTTGACGAAAAGAAGAATGAGGCTCAGGTAGATGATGTGGTCACGGATATAAGTGCAAGTGGCGCGAGGTACAAGACGCTGATTGTCCAAACGGATGAGCAGCTGGAGATGGCAAGGGGTGTGTTGGTGGATAAGGACCGTTTTGTGGGGAAGAAATAATGTCGATACAAGATACATGTCTTTAGTAATAAATGCAACCTCTAATGTCCATCCTTGTTTGTGTTGTTACAGATATTGATGCGTTTGTACATGTGTATAAAGGGTCCACGTCCTATTGAGACTGTTACGGTATGGCGGCGGAGGAAATGCTGTTAGTAGATGATCATGGTGTATTGGAAGTAGAGTTTGGGTGCTACCTACGCATGCTTAGTTCAATACCCGGAATATTGGGAAGATGAGACCGTACTATGGTGTTGTGAAATCCATCTTCTCCATGCTATCCTGATGACAAGAACGAATATGGGTATCGTGAGTTGTACGAGTAGAGTGGCAAGGGCTATGCGCGCTTCAAGGGACCAACTGGCCATGCTGATGAATTTTGCTTGAGGAGAGGATGAAGTGGGCTTGGGCGACTTGGAGGGAGCGAATATCTTTGTTGATGGTGCATGATGCGAGGACGAGCACGCTTTAGATACACACCTCTAATCCAGAATCTGGATGTTCTTACATTTTCCAGGGGGCTAATGAAGGCATCGCACGAATGTTTTTGGGACGGAGTATATCCAGATTCTGGTGTTTGGCTTTCTGTTGTGTTTTGGGAAACCAGATTCTGGTACCAGGTGCGCGTATCTAGCGTCATGGGGAAGTGAAGGGCAGATTCCGAAAGTCCGATGTTCCGAAAAACCAATCGCTAGTTACCTGTTACCTCTTGCGTATTAGTTCTACAGCACGCTTATTCGAATAGTCTCAGTTACATCAAATGTCGATCCTATTACCCTTTCACTCATGCTGTGTTAGTACGTATAGCAGAATGATTACAGCGGTGACGTAGGACCAATGTGGCATTCGAGGCTGAGCGAGGTTGTCACCACAATCTGTTCAATTCCAGATTCTGGTCTGCATTGCAATATTCTGGATGGTCTGTGTGCTGACCAAATGCATTATGTCGCATATCTTCACATTGTGGCTGATGCATGTAATAGTGATTGGTTGAATCAAAGAGCAAGGCGGAGCAAACCGGTCAAGCAAAGACAGCTCAGTCTTCCGGCCCCAAAGGACTCGAGAATGCTCAGCCAATCACTTGATTTCCAGATTCTGGAGTGTTAATCAGGCGCTCTCCTTCCTAGAGCCCGTTTCCCAGAATCTGTTTTTACGGATTCCCTATTCCATATTCCAAATTCCTGATTCCCAGATCCTCTTCTCAGATCCACTATTTAGAGAAGTGCTCGATCCTGCCTTGAAGAGTTTGGAGACATTGCAACCCCATTTCCTCCTTTTCCAGCCTTGTAAATTGTAATCTAGTCATGCCGAAGATAAACCACCCCCGAATATCTCCAACAGAATGGCAACATCACAAGAAGACGATCCAGAAGCTATATCTATCCGAAGATAAGAGCTTGATGGGAGAAGGTGGCGTGATCGAAATTATGAAAGGGAAGGGTTTCTCTGCAAGGTAAGATGTAAAATCCCTCATTCTGGATTTTTTTAGTTGACCTAATTTATTCAAGTAAACCACAATACGAAGCACAGTTCATGCGATGGGGCTTTAAGAAGAAGTTGACTCGCGAAAACTGGCATACCATTGGACACATCATCAAGAACCGGGACGAGCTTGGGCGTGTTAGCTACGTATACGCATATGGGGCGAGACTTCCTATCAACAAAGTGAAGAAAGAGACAGCCCGATATAAGACTTGTGATAGAAATAGAGAGTGCTGTACAAAGCAACTATTACCCGCCGGCATTGAAGTCCAGTCGGACAATGAGGAAGATGAAGAAACAATCCTCAGCCCGGAAGCCCAAGAACTATATTCAAACAACACTTCAAACACATGGCCTTCAGTAGAGCCGCATACTCTCGAGGGGCCCTGGAATCCAGCACCCGTTCTTGATCTTTTCCAGCCAAGGGATCCTCAAATGTTCCATAGCAGACTTCTGGCCGATCTTCCGACTCCTAATACGACTGACCGTACGTTCCAGAATGCTCTATTCTGGAATACCGGGTTGTCGGGTTCGTACTCCCAGCCAAGTCCATTCAATAGCTGCGATGATGTTGTTCGACACTCGTCCCTTGGGATATCAATCCTCAAGAAAACATTTTCCATGCCTATGAACACTATCGCTTTATTCACCGACCTCAATACCCCACTATTCCGCGAATTCCGGGCTTTATTGAAAGATAATCAACCCAAAATCTTCGCCTCAATCAATCAAATGAGATATCTACTCCCAAGCGAACCGAACCAACTTCAGAAGGCTTCTGTGGATCTGGTCATACTGAAGCAGATACTGTATCTTCTCATGAATAACTTCGCTGGCTCCGACTATGCAGTGTTCGACACCATCTTCGAGCAAGTCAGACAGTTTTCTGTTGCTCACATGGAGGATATGCTGAACACGCTACCGCATCCATACGCGGCAGCACTTCAGCAAAGTATCTTGACTATCGCTATCAAGTCCAACATATCAATCCTCGTAGAAGTCATCTTGAGAAGAGGTCTTGACAGCAATCGGGTCACTTGCTACTTTGGTGGTGAGATATTCACGCCTCTTGGATTAGCATGCAAGTTTTGTCATTTAGAGGTCGTGAAAGTTCTATTACGCGCAGGTGCCGATCCCAACCGGAGTCTGCGTGATGATCTTAGGTTCAACTCTATTTCGTATCTGCTTAGCACGAAAACCGGAAATTCGAGGGAGGCTAGCTTCCCACCAGTTGTGTGCAACATTCTGCAACAACTTCTTGATCATCATGCTAGGATTAGCTGGAAAGTTCTGGACGTTCATGCATTTTGGAAAAATGAAATGCTTATAGATGTTCTCATACATCACAATAAGTTTTCCATCAATTCCGAAAGCCCATCCTCCGAGTTCGACATAAAGAACGTACTCAACCAAATAATGAAGGTTAAACATCAAGAAAAGATCCCCCTGATCATTCAGACAATCTTGGGAAACGATTCAGTTTTACTAAATGAGGGTTTTGTTTACAAAGTATGGATGGCCGAACTTCTCCAAAACGCTTCGTACAGGGGCAACTTGAGTTTGATCAACTATATTCTGGAACGGCTAGGATTGATTCCAGACTCTACATGCTTGTGTGAGGCTATTCGTGGAAATCAGCAACTGTTGGTCAACAAGTACTTGTAGATGGGGGTGAAAATCAACGAACTATCCAAGTCTCCACACATTCAGAAACGGGTTGTGAAAAATCTCTCTTCAAACGTAGATCCGTATCTACTAGAGGGTTATTGGCTGGGTATAACGACCACACCATTTGCTGAAGCTATCAGACGGGGCAACCAAGAAATGATTGACCTACTGACGAGTTCGGGCGATCTAGAGACCACTATCAAAGAGATACATATTGAATCAGCTATAGTTGCTGCCGCTGAAACAGGAAATCAAGACCTGATCCAACATCTACTTGCGATGCACAAAAGAAGTTTTTGGGAGATCTTGGGATCGTCCTTTCTCAAAATCCCCAAAAGCACTGGGAGAATAAGTAAGATTTGCTGTTACGCTTTGACTGCTGCCGTTTTGGGAGGCTACAAAGATATTATAGAACTTCTAATGGCGGCCGGTGTGCAGCCAGATGGTACCAGTGTCGCGGCTGCAATTTTGACGCGCAATGTACAGCTTTTTGATTTGTTCCTTGATACAGCAGTTTGTATCAAGAACTCATCTGGGCTTGCAATACTTGCTGTGCGTTGGGGTAGTCAGCACGTTCTCAAACGATTGATCGTTTGTGGAGCTGATCCTAATGAAAGAAGGATAGATCTGGAGTATTTGAGCTTACCGTCATTGTATCCTGAAAGGGAGATGGATTTGGAGAATCTAATTTTATGGTCATGGCATCTTGAAACGAAGAAGATACACTTTTCAACTTTAAACGAAGCTATGGAGAGAGGCGATCATGACACGTTTCAGCTGCTACTCGACCACGGGGCGCATTTTATTACGATTTTCTCTGGCATAGCGACCTCAGCTTTGGAAGAAGCTATCAATTGCGGTCACGAGACATTCGTTCACAAACTCCTCGCTCATGGTGCGGACCCAAAAGACCCTGGTGCACTCCAGGCTGCTATGAATAAATCTCAAACTGGCTGTAGCAATTCTGAGGTCGTTCAGAGAACGGTACCCTGATAACAATGGAGACTTCACAATCCCAGCCTTGCTAGAAGTGATTGAGCAACATAACGAGACAATGGTTAGGATGCTGGCAAGCTATATTGCTCTGAACAGAGTAGCATTTCGACAAGCCGTAAATGGAAATATTATGCCACTTGGGAAAGGAATTGCTACGGGTAACATCAAGATCGTGCAAATCCTCCTGAAATGTGGTGGCGATCCAAATAGCACAGTTGAGGTCGCGGAATGCTTTGGTCCACATCGAGGACGATTGAATGCTGTATTGAAGGCGATACAGACTGGGAGTCTTGCTATGGTGGAACTCCTACACAACGCTGGGGCGGATTTAGGGTTCAACGCAACAATTGGCATAGCGTATACATCACTACAGCTTGCCATTGATCTGGGTCACTTTGAAATCGTTCAATACCTGCTGGAACAAGGTGTCGATGTCAATGCACCACCTTGCATCTGGGAAGGGGGGACTGCTCTCCAGTTCGCTGCCAAAACTGGTTCCGTCCTCATTGCAGAGATGCTCCACAAACGCGGCGCCGAAATCAACCACCCAGGTAGCAAATACATGGGTACGACCGCATTCGAAATTGCAGCAGCACACGGAAGGATAGATATGCTACTTTGGCTCTTCCATCACGGTGTAGATATTGTGTCGGACGGTGGGGAGCAAGTCTGTAGAGCTTGCAAGTTTGCTGAAGAAAACGGACAGATAGCGGCAAAAAATCTGGTTGAGCAGCTCGAGACGGAAGCAAAACAGAACCTTCTCTTCACTGCATATCAAGAACCCTGGTAGAAATTGTTGGGCTGGCGTACAACAAGCAGTCACATGGTCAAACGCGTTACCAACCAAATCTTGAACCTGTAGTACTCATACGTGCCAAAACGAAAATTTATATTGCGTGCAGTTGATTGATTCACCGAAGCATCCTCAATTACTTCATTATGAAGATACATCCGTCTGCAACATGCTATGTAATTATTTTTCAGTACCAGCAAGTCATTCAACATGAAAGAGACGCAAAAAATGCAGGAATGAATCTATGAACAGCACATCATCAGTGTGAATTCGTTGTAGCTTCGCGTTCCCTTCATATCCACTCTCAATATCCTCATCACGTTTCATTTACCAGCCTCAACCTCTCAATCGTTTTCCCATCATATCTTCCACAATCGATTTTAACCTACATTTTGCAAGAAAACAAAACTCCTCCAAAAGAAGACCGATGGTTAGAGGTTCAAAGTTACTAGACTGTGCATTCCACTACTACGAAAGAGTTATTTGATGCATTTCTACACCTTATCGAAGAGGCCATGTTATATATGCCAGAAGCAAATAAGAATTAACAAAGTGGCGAATTTTTAGATGCTTACAATGCTGCTACTGGCACGAAGGATTTTCCAAGATACTCTACACGCATTAAGAAGGTTGACGGCTGCAAGCACGTGGAGTGAATCTGGGTACCAGCGTCCGAACGATTTGCATGAAGGTAAGGTGCTGGAAGAAAGAGATTACGATGAAAAAAAAATCTGATAGGTGCCATTATATAAATATTGCGATTAAGGACGTAGGAAGGGAAGATGACGTTCTGTTTGACCTATTTATGTGTACGAGCGCACAGGGCTGGGGCAACGTTGCTGAAGCTACTGAATACTCAGCCTCTAAGAAAACTATAATAAGAAATATATTTAGACGCAATCTGCTGGATAAGCGATCGGCATCGGACACTCATCGTAATCAATAACGCCAACAACAGGTGTATTTGGAAGTGATAGAGGTTGCTTACTCTATAAAACGTCACGTGATCCTGTAGCTGACAGCCACAGCCAATGAGGGCTCCTGGTGGTCTGAGGTTGTTGCTTACGAACGTTCGGAAGACCCGGATGTTGGAGCACCCGGCTGCCAGTGACATTACCAACCTCACTTTCCACTCTCGCGACGCGATTACAGTCAACGCGAGCAGAACGTTTTCGTCCGTTTTTCGGCCTTCGGTTTGAAGACTGTAATAGAGATGTAGAAGTGCTTCAGAGTTTCGGTCCGTTTTCAAGGAGAAATGTATATGTATAGCTACGGTTTCATCTTGTTACATCTCCCTCAACGTCCTGCATTTTAGCATTTCTTTCCCAAGATACCCATCCGTTTGTTAATTCTTTGACATTCAATCATGACTGAACAGCGCAACATCGTCGTGCTCGGCGCTTCAGGCGCCGGTCTTCAAGCAACCCACTACATCCTCAAGCACATACTACCTGCTCTCAAAGCCAAGAATGATGCCAAATACCACGTCTATATCATCGCGCCATCATCGACTTGGTACTTTAGAAATGCTTCGCCTCGCGTCGCAGCTTCAACTGGCCGCATGTCGACCGAAAAAGTCTTGTTCAATCTGCATGATGCTTTCAAGCAGTACTCCAAGGAAGACTTTAGCTTTGTCGAAGCTACTGCAACTGGTCTTGACACATCAGCACAGAAAGTCTCATATCGCAACAAAAATGGAAAAGAGGACCAGGCTTTGCCATATCACGCCTTGGTTGTTGCTACAGGCAGTAGCACCTACTTTCCCGCCTTTTCCATGAGTGGAGATGCTCAAGATACTCTGGACTCGGTCGCTTCGACCAACGAGAAGGTGGCGTCAGCAAAGAAGATTGTCATTGCTGGAGGCGGAGCGACAGCCGTGGAATTTGCTGGTGAAGTTGCCGAGCATCGCAATGGCAAGCCGGGATGGTTTAGCAAAGTCGAGCCAAAAGTCGAGGTCACCTTGGTCACATCTGATGCGAAGCTCCTCCCTGGTCTACGCCCTGCAATTGCCAAAACAGCAGAGCGCAAGCTCAACGCTCTTGGTGTAACAGTCATCTACAACACGCGTGTGACCGAGTCCACATCCAAGGAAGATGGTCGGACGGTAATGACGCTCCAGAATGGGGACAAGCTGGATGCAGATCTCTACGTGCCTGCCTATGGTGTCCGACCAAACTCTTCCTGGCTTCCGAAAGAGCTTCTGGATGACAAGGGCTACCTCATCACCAGCTCCGCTCTTCGCGTTGATGCAGCGGGTCCCCGTGTGTATGCCCTTGGCGATATCGGTTCCTACTCACGCAACAACTACTTCGATATATTGAATGGTCTACCTGTTCTTGCCACCAACCTCAAGCGCGACTTGCTGTCTTTCGACCCCGTACGCCCTAGTGAGAAACCCAAAGGAAAAGACCGGGAATTTAAGCCCGACACAAGGGAGACAATGGTAGTCCCGATTGGAAGCGGTGGTGGTGTTGGCGTCCTCATGGGTTGGAGGCTGCCAAATTTTGTGGTCTGGTTAGCTAAGGGTAGAGATTATATGGTGGGTATGAGTGGGCTTTCAACGTCAGGTGGCGATAGTGTCAAGAAGGAGGTCAAGTGGACTGCAGAAGAGGCTGCCATCTGATTGTTGCAGAAGATATGGAGGCGTTGATGAGCGTTCTGGGGTTCTAGCTCTATATTCTGTTTCAGTAATTATTAGTAATACCTTAGAACTTAATACATTGCTATTTTCCGAGACAGTGGCATGCTTGGTGAAGGTGCTGGGGGGTTGAAGAGGTTGGGAGTGGATGCCCCGCGGAGAATAATGCAGGACGATTGGTTTCGAGCTCGCACCACCACATCACGGCGCGCTCCGCGTCTACACGACTCCCGCCTATCCTTGCACCCCACGTACGCGGCCCCAATGCGGGGTGAGTAACAGATCAAATGGACTTCGTGCGTATGGTCGACAGCAAAAGGGTGAAGTGGAAGCTGACTGGATACAGTGGGTGAGGCTACTTGGCGGCTCGTCCCAGAAGAAGAAGCAGATCGCGCCAAACAACCCGCAGCAGCGGCTGGCACGCTTCCGGCAGCGATACAACCAAGTACTGGTATGCGAGTGTGTCGATCCCATGATGACCATGACCTGACAGACAGCAGCAAGCATGGCAAAAGGCAACCAACCTCGCAAGCGACCGCGAAGCGCTGGGCAACATCCGTCGTGGCTTCCAGGCCCTCACCGCGATCCTCAGCGATGAGTCCAGATCACCCGCACCCCACATGTGCCTGCAGTTCGCAGCCGCCCAGCAGATATACACGGCCGTCTCCAAGATAGCAGCCACTGCGCACGACGAAGGCACCGTTAGGGACGCCGTCGCATTCTACAATGCCCTCATCGATAGCGAGGAAGAGGATTTTCTCGAGAATGATGTCTTCGCCGCCTCCCTCATGAACTTCATTGACCGGACAATCGGATCTGGTAGTATAGGCATTGGCGAAGACATCGAGGCCGACATTGTCGAGCTGCTGTTCGGCATTGCGGCCAAAATCAGATTACAGCCAGAGATCTTGCATGTCTGGTTCACCACCACGTCGGCAGACAGCCAAAGGCGGCTGCTCAACCAGAAAGCAGATTTTGCGGGTGTCACCCAAAAAGAAGATTTTCCGCTGTGCTACCAGCTCATTGACCACGTCCACCATGAAGGTCGTATCGGAGATTTTGCGCGCACTGGCCTACTGTACATATTTGAGTCTGCTTCCAGGTCCATAGATCTGGAGCAGTGGATAGTGAACAGTGACCTCCCTACACTCATGGCAACTGGACTAGGAGCATTGTACAGTCAGATGAGCAGGTAGGATATACGTTCATTCTGTACTTCTACACCAAGCTAACATGGCGTAGGAAACTGTCCATCCTGCATCCTCCACAAGATCTGCCTCTTATACTGTCTCTTTCCGACTACCCCGAGATGAAATCGAACCCACAAGCAGAGAATTTCTTCAGTGTTGACTTTCAGGGTCATCTTCTTACGTTCCTGTCTTACCTTGCATTCTGGCAAGATGTATTGGAGCATTGCAGATCCGCCGACGTCAGAGTCACACTGATTGACCACTTCCAAGCCTTGTTTCTCCAGCAACTCTTGTTCGTGGTCACCATGCACCCCTCGCACGTACTCTGCTAATATCATATAGGTATCCTTCGCTGCTAGAATCATCAGATGCTGATGGCGGTTCCTCGGTTGCAGTGCTTACATATCTCCGTCATATACTGGACGGCCTGGACCATCCCGAGCTTGTACACATGATGCTTCAGTATTTGCTAGCATTACTGGACTACACGACTTCTACAGCGCCACGTTCACCCGCCGCTGTCAAACGACGCCAGTCGCTCATGCTGCTCAGTGCAACAGACAAAGATGACGACAAACTCAACCCATCGCTGTTCAATCTTGTCGATCTTGTGCTGGGCAGCACTGCCTCCCGAAATCCACAGACTGTCACCGCAGCGTTGAAGTTAACAACAGTGATTCTGAGCAAAAATCACAGCTATGCACTTGGGTCTCTGGTAAAGGTCATGGCCATTCACCACAAGGAGCATCATAGGACAGTCGGATCGCTGAATAAGGAGCTTGAGATGTACCTCAACGTTGCTGTGGACCTTGCCGGTCTTGAAGGCGTCGACGAGGCCTATGACAGCTATCTGAAGGATGTGTTGAGCTTACTGGAATCTCATCCTTGTTCGCTGAAGACGATTGGCATACCATCCATGTCTGGGAAGAATCAAGGCTACTTTGACTCAGCTGAAGCCTCGGCTAGGGATGTTGACCCGCATCACCTGCTCCCAGAAGACCCACTCTTCCAAACCCTGATTGACCTGCTGCTAACATTCCTCACAAACGATGTTGAGACTAATTTGGCACTTACCGAGGCAATTATCACGCTCGGAACATGCTCTCAGCTGCGTCTTGAAGGCTGGCTGTCTGTTGATCCTGCCGACTACCACTTCGAGAACAATGACCCCGAAATAGAGTCGTTCTCGAATGAAAATTTGCGGGCCATGTACATGGCTGAGAGACTTCCAAATTGGAACCCAGCAGCCACACCCCAATTGCTGACGTGCTTGCAGCAGCTTCAGGCTCAAGTCAATGCTCTCCGGAGCGACATCAAGGACTGGGATGAGCAGGTTGCTAGTCGTAAAGATACTTTCCACATCCACCAAGACATAGAAGAGGAGTCCAAAATGTCTACACCTCAGTCAAAAGCAGTTAGAGCTCCTTCCGAAACACCAGCTGGGTCTTGGAGGCCACAGATACCAAAACATGTTCTGGACCCACCAAAGACGCCTTCACGAGCTCAGTCTCCTCGAGGAAGAAAAGAAGCACTTGCAGCGTCAAGAAATACGCCTGGAGGCTCTCCTGTTCCCTCAAGATATGGCGGGCAAACTCTCGTTGGCTCACCTGCTCGAGCAGCGTCTCCTCTATCAGTGCAGAATGTCAGCATTCTACAGCCGTCGCTCATGTCCGATGTCGATGCCAGTATAGCACAAATCAGGATGAATCAATTTGGCAAGAGACGCATTCGCTTCCGGCGCGCAGCTGGGTCAAGAGAAGTTGAAGTCATGCTATCCAAATTCCAGCCGCCACCAAAAGAGCCTTCTGAAAACGCAACAGATAGCGCTGAAGAGAGGGAGGAAGATGACATTCGAGAGGCGAGCTTAATGCATATCATTACGAACGTGGTGATTCTGCAAAACTTCGTGCTGGAGCTCGTGGCATTGATGCAAGTCAGGGCCAGCTTGTTTAATGAGGTCAAGTTTCTTTGAGGGTGTAGTGCTTCTTGTGGGGGTGTTTTCGGTTTAGTAGCACGAATATACCCATTTTCATGTCTGTGTCTTGGCCTTTTCCATCCATATGGCGGTCCACGATCATCCCTACACGAATGCAAGAACGGCAGTGGACCCGCACGTGCTGTGTTGTTCCGAGGTATTCTCGCGCACGTGCATCACCAACCCGCCTTACGGAAAACACAGGGCTGCATCGGAAATGTTGCCGGGTGCCCCTCAAACGTCATTCTCCCACACTTTCACATGTCGATCATTCCACCCCTCATCCGCCATCAAATTGCCATATGTGCGAGCTCGTGAAAGCGCACTAACCATGGACCAGAACTGGCCTTTTTTCTTCGCTCATACTCTGCCAATCCTGCCACTACACGAAAGTCACAATGAGCAATTAATTATTACAGGGGTTTTGGAGACATGAAGCTCGGTTACTGCATAGTTCCATGTGCCGATCTCCGGCCGAACGACATCAGCATATCGTAACTTCCGCTCGTCCACCAAGGCAAAATCCGGGGTATGCCAAGTGTTCCCGTTAGTTGCCAGGCTAGGTCATACCAAACACAGACGCGTGCCAGTCTAAACTCAGACATTCGGCCTGGGCTCACGCAAGGGCCGAGGCTGGTGGGAGCGAATGGAAACTGTCTGACCTCTGCTACCCGCGGGTAGCTTCTGATCAGCCCTTGGTAAAAGAATATTACTGACGGAATGTCCTTGATCTTTCTTTCTTGACTCACAGTTCTTCTCTTTTTTGGTTCCTCATCTTCTGCTTGGTGCTTCTTGATACCCATCCGGTAGCTATTGGCTTCTTACATTTTTCCTACTTTGGTTTGAGTATAAGGTTTCAAGCCGAGACTTATCAGATACGTTGCGGTTTTCTCGAATTAGAACTGAGTGCTACCTGGCTCGCTTTGCTATTATCATAAGGCTCGGATAGTTGTTGGGTTTAGCTTTGCGCAACTGGTACTTTCCTTTCAGAGGGACTAGACATCAAGACCATACAATATGTCTGCAAAGTCGGTACAAGGGCCTAATGGCAAAAAGCCTGCATCAGCAGCCACCAATTTGATCGGTAAGCTACATGGCCAGTGTATGCTCTCCAATGGCAAAGGCTGAAAATTTTGTGTAGCTGGTGGTGGTGCTGGTATGATGGAGGCGCTCGCGTGCCATCCTCTCGGTAAGTTTCAGTTACCAAAAGGTAAATTGATTCGCAATAAATCTAACACAATCTTAGATACGATCAAAGTTCGAATGCAGTTGTCAAGACGAGCTCGTGCGCCGGGAGTAGGTTCTACTTCATATATGTACACCATGCGGCGGGACAATTACTGATGTAGCACTATAGGCGAAGAAACGCGGTTTTATTACTACTGGCGCCGAGATTGTGAAGAGAGAAACAGCATTGGGTCTATACAAGGGTTTGGGCGCGGTGTTGACTGGAATCGTCCCGAAGATGGCCATACGGTTTACGAGTTACGAATGGTACAAGCAACTGCTAGCGGATAAAGATGGCAATGTCGCGTCGAAATCTACATTCATGGGTGAGTTTCTTATATTTCTAGCCTCAATTGCCGTGTCACGACTTCGCTAGAAAGATATCAGCCACGAATAATACTAACCATACATAGCTGGTCTAGCCGCCGGAATTACAGAAGCCGTTCTTGTCGTCACTCCTATGGAAGTGGTAAAGATCCGTCTACAGGCGCAGCACCACTCCATGGCAGACCCACTCGATGTGCCGAAGTACCGAAATGCCGCTCATGCGATGTACACTGTTGTCAAGGAAGAAGGCGCTGGAGCATTGTGGCGCGGTGTCTCACTCACTGCTCTGCGCCAGGGAACCAACCAAGCGGCAAACTTCACGGCATATTCTGAGCTGAGGGCACAATTGCAGAATTACCATGGCAGCACTGACATTCCCAGTTACCAAACAAGTATGATTGGACTGATAAGCGGTGCTGTGGGACCTTTTACAAATGCACCCATTGACACCATCAAGACGAGGCTGCAGAAAACGCCTGCTGAGGCAGGCCAAAGTGCCCTACAACGAATTACAAACATTGCCGGGTAAGATGTTAAGCCATTGTATACTGTATACACTAGCTAATTAGGCTGGTAGTGATATGTGGAAGCAAGAAGGAGTTCGAAGTTTCTACAAGGGCATCACACCACGCGTTATGCGAGTCGCTCCCGGTCAGGCTGTTACATTTACTGTGTACGAATATCTAAAGGGTGTTCTAGAGCGTGGACGAGAGATGCTACCGGGCGGCCAATACGAAGAGTAGGCTACGACCAGTCGGGTTAAGTATCGGGGGTAGCTTACAAGTTCTGATGTTATTCTGAATAGCGAGTGTAAAACCATTGATTGCATTTGGAAATGAATTTCTTTTTACCCGCATGGTTCATGCTTGTATCGGGCCATCTCTAGGAACAGGAAGGTATGGCAAAAGCAGGGACTGCCAAGTGCATCCGCCATTCACCCCACTTGCCCCACGCATCCATGCATCACAATGCTACGTCAGCGTAAACAAGCAGAGTTGTCAATTCAACAACTTATACCCCACCACGGTCATCTGAACACCAACTTCGTCTACAGAGTGTGTTCACGATAAAGTCTCATACAAGATGCAGTCCGGCATCTCCGGTACTGTTACCTGAATTCCCAATTCTGAGAAACCCCCTAACAATGTGCAACAGCTTCCCAAGAGCTCAAATCTGCCCTAGGCAGCCTCATAACATCGACCAGCCAACGCGGCATCCTAGCAACAATCCAGAAGGAAACAATTGTACCCAGCGGCACAATATCCTCGACTGCCTCGACTTTTGTCGACGATCTCTCGAATCTCCAACCCCACGTCAAGGACAATGCGGCGTTGTACATTCTCCTCCGCCGTGCCGACAGCCTGAACAGCTCAGATAAGAGTCTGGTGGCAGTAACATATGTCCCCAATGCGGCGCCAGTACGACAAAAGATGCTCTTCGCATCCACAAGGTTGACCCTTGTGCGCGAACTAGGCGGTGAACACTTTGCGGAAAGCATCTTCACAACCGAGGCGTCGGAGTTGACGACCGAAGGCTGGGAGAAGCACGTAGCTCACACTGAGTCCGAGAACCCATTGACGGCTGAAGAGCAGTCGCTGCAGGACATCAAGGCCGCCGAGGCGCTGGAGAGCAGGGGCACGCGGGGCCAGAGTCTCGCTCAGGGCGGCAAGTTGGCAATCCGTGCTGACAACGACGTCGCAGAGGTATTGAAGAAGCTGGGCCAGGGAGGTGGAGACAACCTCGTGCAGCTGAGAATGGATGGTGCGTCTGAGACGTTGAAGCTGGTATCTTCATCGTCGGCTACGCCATCATCCATCTCTGGGTCTATCGATACAAAGGAGCCGCGATACGTGTTTTACCGCCACAACGACCCAGATGCGTCGATTGTTTTCATCTCAACGTGCCCGAGCAGCGCGAAGATCAGGGAACGCATGATATATGCTGCGAGTCGGGGCAACGTGGTGTCTCTTGCACAGAACGACGGTGGCCTCAAAGTGCTGAAGAAGCTCGAAGTCACGAATCCAGATGAGATCACTGAGCAGATAATCATGGACGAGTTCAAGGAGGAGAAGAAGGAGGAGAGTAAAGGATTTGCCAAGCCTAAGAGGCCAGGACGCAGATGAACAGGGCTTTCGTGAACAAATTTTGGATTGCAATAAGCATCATAGATTGAAGACGTATGCTGGTGAATACGTTTAAAACGAGAAAAAATGGATATCCCAATTGACGCATTCATTTCTCTCCCTCTTTTTTAAGTATGCATGCCCTACACACATACAAATACCATAATACCTGGATCAAGACGCCCCCTACTCATCCCCATCCCTCAAGAATCCCCGATTCCCATGCGGTCTCCTCTCCATCCTACCCACCCTCACAACCCCACCCTTCTTACCCACCATCCTCTTCTCCACCTGCCTCCCCTTAAGCCAATGCTCCCTCACATTCTTCGAATCCCGATTCACCTTCGGTGGCATAACCTTATTCTGCTGCGCCAACACAGCGACATTGAGTTTACCCTTTTTGATATCCTTGGCGGGCTTGTCAGTGCGCTCGAGGAACTTGATATGCTGATTCAGCTTCTCTTTTCGCTTTTCCTCTTCGGTCTTGCCGCGGCGCTCGGGTGGGGGTGTGGGCGGGCGCTGGTCGTCGATTGTGGCGAGGAGGGAGGCGGGGAGAAGGCCGTTGGATGTGTCGATTTGCGTGGGGTGTTCGGAGTCTGATTCTTGCTCGGCGGAGGGAGCGTCTGTAGCTGCTGCTTCGGCTTCTTTGGCGGCCTGTTTGGCGAGTTTCTTTGCCTTCTTTTCTTCGCGCTCGCGCTTGGCGGCTTGTTGGGCGGCGAGGAATTCTTCGCGAGCTTTGCGTTTGGCGTCTTCTTTGGCTTGTTGGGCTTTTTGGGCGCGGTCGGCTTCGGCGCGGGCGGCGAGGGCTTTGGAGCTTGCGGCTGCGATGGTGATGACTTCGGGGGCTTCGTCGTCTGAGTCGCTGGCGTCGTCTTCGTCTGCTTGGGATGGTTTGATTACAGGCTCTGCGGCTTCGTAACGCTTGCTGCCTTGCTTATTCATGACTGGCGAGGCTGGTGTCGGCACAGGCTCCTCGCTGCCGAAGCGCATGTGTGCCTTCTCAGGCTGCGCTGAGGGAGGTGCAGCGTCTTGCGAGGGTATAGGTGCCATTTCGCTCTCGTAGGTAGAAGACGGTACCTCGTCTGTTTCTTCAATAAGCTCCTTTTGTGGTGTCTTCTTGGGACGCCCTCTCCCCTTTTTCACTGCCGTCGATGGTGTCTGATCGTTTAGGATCTTAGCTTTGGGCGTGGGCGAGCCCTCTGGCCGCTTGTGTGTAGCTGGCGTGGCATAAACGGACCCGGGGGCCTGTGTTGGTGTGTAAAATGCAGGGTTTTGCACAGTCGATGGCACTTCATCTTCCTTTTCCACGGTGTTGGATGATTGATCTGAAGCACCAGCACCAACGACTACTTGTGGGCTTGATTTTCGGCGAGCTGGCAAGCCGCTCTGCTTAGGTGTCTCGGGCACTTCTAATTCTCGTGCATTGGCAGCAATTGTGTCCGAGGTATCGTTTGAAGATTCTTGTGAAGGCTCATCTGCAGATTCTTCCTGTCCTTTTGACTCCACCGTACTTCCTTTCCTTGCTGTGGCCTTGGGCGCCTTTCTTTGCCTCTTCGTCTGTGTTGGTGTCTCGAGCGACTCCAGTTCTCGCTTTCCAACCTGTTTTCTTGTCGAGCTCCGTGGAGTGGGCGTCGGCGCGCCTGGCGTCTCTGTTCCTCCTCGTGTTGTGACCATTGCGACAGTGATACTGTGGGCCTGACTGTGTCCTGGCGAAAGCGCAGCTTGGATTTGGGGTGTCTGGGTTGAGGCGCAACTTTCTTCGCGACACCAAAAAAGATTCTGGCGCGCCAAGATTTCGCGGCCATTGCGGACCTCCGAGACCAACTAGACATCACCATGTCCAACTTGCACCCACACGCTTATCACGAGACGCAATCCCGGTCCAGCCATGTCCCTCTCTCGAATTGGACGGGGCTCAACAAGAACTGTGGGAAAAATTGAGAGCTGTCTTATTTGCCAATTTCGTCAATTTAACAGAACGACTCAGCACAAGGGCCCTGCAAGACTAATATTATCTTCACATCAACAAAAGTCTAGAGCTCCAATTCAGATCCGGGAATATGCTACCAAGCCGAGATTCGATGCTCCAAAAGCCCGGGCTGATGTCGACGAGCGCAGCCGGTTAGGCTTCTATACACTCGCTAAACAACAAGGCTCTCTCAAGATGGAGCCTCGCATAGCGCAGAGTCTGTACCAGGACTTTGTTACACACAAGAGTAAAATGGATCATGGTACCAATATTCTGCGATTAGTAAAGAGTGCGTGTCAAATCTGCCATTTAATGTGAACTTAGAATGCTAATCTCAACAGAGTACAATGTCGCACTTGACGACGTTTCCTCTCTTGGGATCATAACTTTCAAAATACCTGATATCAGCGACCCTGTTAAAAGAGCTCAAATCCCCCCAAGTCAGCACAAAGCTATCTCCGGACTGCTTCTCCAAGGGTGTGCCCAAGCTGGTGATCCTCTAGCAATTGTGCATATCCTGACTGCTGTCTATCTAAGCAGCGCAGGTGACGAATCTGTGCAAGAGCTAGCACGCCTTTTTCCGCGTTATGAAATTTCCAAATACCGCCAGACGTTAGAGAGCTTTGATCAACAAACACTGGAAAAAACCACTGCTCTATGGCCAGAAGTCTTAACTCTGAAAGGGCTTTTTCTTGAACAGGAGGGTCAAAGACTCAAAGCTAAGGAAACGTATCTGCAGGCCATTAATCCTTCTAGTCTCAAATATGAACCTGGGTCAAGACACCCCATGCAGCTGCCACTAATCGCGCCGTGGAATGCACTTGGGTTCTTACTAAAATCCGAAAAAGATCCAGAAGTGCGAGCTGAAGCAAAGACTCCATTTGAGCTGGGTGCTCTAAAAGGCGATGATCCGCTCTCATATTATGAGCTTGCGGCTTTTGAGCCCAGAGCAAGCGAGAAGTGGCTACGATACACAAGTAAAGCAGCAGCATCTGGTCATCAGCAAGCCATGATAAATCTCATCGACTTTTACCAAGAGGCTGCAAAGACTGAATCTCCCGTTCTCAAAGATGACGGCATACGCAAAGCGCTCAATTGGCTGCTGGGATGGAAGCCTGGCAGCGCTGCAGCACTAGCGCGGGAATGGCTTGAGGCTGCATCTAACGCCGGCCATAAGCCTTCTATGCTGCAGCTTGCGGATTATCATGACTCAAACGGTGATCAAGAACAAGCGAAGGAATACCTGCGACAAATACTCGAAGTCCCGAGTGCAGCCAATCAAAAGGAAGAGTGGCCACAACTCGTTCAACTTGCAAGGAAACGGCTTGCTGGGATCAGGTAGAAGCATGTTGGCTCGAAGGCCAGTCAATTTCTAGTCACTATACTTTGTCTAGAAAAGAAGAAGATTCTTAGTAATATCCTCGACAATGCAATACCTCTATCTCTGGGATCACACAAGTCTACCCCGCTTCGGCAAGGAAGGTGCTGGCCTTCCTTATCTGGCTCTCTGATAGCAGCCATAGTATTTGAATATGCAAGAGGCTCTTGTTCAGGTTTATTCTTCCTACTTACAATCATCTCAAACCTGTACGCACCTATATTTGACGAAAACTACTCGTGACCTACATCCCACCATTCCAAGTTTTGTCACAACTATGGCTTCCGCCACTGCAACCAAACTCAACCGCAAGGCCCTAATAGGATCGTCCACAAGCTTTTGGTCTCACACTTCGCAGTTGGGATTCGATCTTACACATCCATCTACTCACTCTTCGCCAATCTCTGATCCTAACTATACAATCCAAACATCAGCTCAGCCCATCAAGGTTGACCCTGCTAAATCCGCCCTTATCATCATTGATATGCAGAACTTCTTTCTCTCTGAAGCTTTTGGCCGCAACCAACAGGGTGCTGGACATGCCGCTTGCGAGCAACTTGTCAAACATGCAATACCAGCTGCAAGAAAGTCAGGAATCCGGGTGGTTTGGGTAAACTGGGGCCTTACAGAAGAAGAAGTTAAAGAGATGCCACCTGCAGTCAAACGTGCTTTTGGGTTCTTTGCTATTCCTGCGGATTCAGACTTCAATGCAGATGATGCGTTTGGATATCACAAAAGCAGCGTGAGTGTAGATCGCCATGGAGAGGAGAACAAATCCATGTACTGTGGCATAGGCGCCGAGTGCGGAACCCTTGCACTTCCAGATGGAAAATATGTTTCGGGTGGCCGACTTCTCATGCGCGATACATGGAATGCCGCACTATACCCTCCTCTTGACGCCATGTACACTGAGGGTGGCAAGCTTGATAGTAGGCCCGACGTTTGGATTCACAAGAATAGGATGAGCGGTTTATGGGGGGCCACGACCCCATTGAAAGAGTTTCTCGACCAAGAGGGTATCAGGACACTGTTCTTCACTGGGGTCAACACAGATCAGTGTGTGGGCGGAACTTTGACGGATGCTTTTAGCAATGGATATGATTGCGTTCTTTTGAGCGACGGTTGTGGGACTAGCTCGCCAGAGTATGCACAGCAGTGTTGGGAGTACAACGCCAGTAAGACGTTTGGATTCTGCGCGAGTTGTGAGCAGTTTGCAAATGGCGTAGTGGGCTGATTGCTTAAAATACAAAGATTGAAGTGTTGAAAAGATTGAAGAATGGGAAGTTGGTTCACTTGACGTCCTTGTGATACTTTTCCGCCTCTGAGGCGTGACACTTCACTGTGAGGTTGTCAGAAAACTAGAGTTATCACCCGATAACTGTTTCAAATTGAGAGAAAATTAGTAATTTTCAGGAGCTCACAAGAAAAAAGCTCTAGTCCGTGATAGAATTGCGCCTCTAAATACTATACCCCTACTTAGATGATATCACGACCACGCCAAGGCCGCCCGCAAACATCGGAAAAAGCCTCGGCTAAGCACCGCGAACCCTAGGGCTAACCCCGATGCTATCCACCCCACCCTTGCTCTTCTACATCATTACCAGCACTCTTCCTACAACAATTGGCGTTTTCCGCAGTGTAGAAGAGTCGCCAAACATCACAACATGTCTGGCTTGAGGATATTAGTGCCCGTCAAGCGGGTCATTGACTATGCGGTATGTTTAGTTTAGCACCGAAGAATGCCCCCAGTCCCGAGCCTCGCATGTGCTACAATGGCACAAGGGATGAATTCCATGGACACAACGGCATGGCAATACGAAGAAGAGGGAAATAGATATTAATAAGAAATGACAGGTCAAGCCCCGCGTAAACCGCACGCAGACCGCCGTCGAAACCGCAAACGTCAAGCACTCGATGAATCCCTTTGACGAGCTCTCCATCGAAGAAGCGGTTCGCATGCGCGAAAAGAAAGCGCACCACTCGAGCGCCCCTACCGTCGAAGACATCGTCGCCTTCTCCGCCGGCGTCGCAAAATCGCAAGACATCCTCCGCACAGCCATGGCCATGGGCGCCGACCGCGGCATCCACGTTGTGGTGGAAGAAAAAGACGCCCTCGAGCCCCTCGGCGTCGCAAAGCTCCTTCGCAAAGTCGTCGAGGAGCAAAAAAGTAACCTCGTTATCCTCGGCAAGCAAGCCATCGACGACGACGCAGGGCAAACGGGACAAATGCTCGCCGGCCTGCTGAACTGGCCGCAGGCAACACAAGCGTCCAAAGTCACCATCAAGGACCAATCCGTTGAAGTGGTGCAGGAGGTGGATGGCGGTGTGCAGACGATCAAGGCCAAGCTGCCAATGGTCATTACAACGGATTTACGACTCAATGAGCCGCGCTACGCCAGTTTACCAAATATCATGAAGGCGAAGAAGAAGCCGTTGGAGAAGAAGAGTCTGAGTGATTATGGGCTGGATACCGAGGTTAGGCTGAAGACGGTCAAGGTTACGGAGCCGGAGCCAAGGAAGGGTGGTGTCAAGGTTGAGGATGTGGATGGTATGATCAGCAAGTTGAAAGAACTTGGGGCTTTGTAAGAAAGAAAAATGGGTGTATTATCATCACGAATGAAAATGGAAATGATTGAATAGAGCGGACGCGAAGATGGGATCGTGTCTGGATATCATATCTCGTTTACATTCTCGGGATTCACATTAACAAGACTGTGATTTGAAGACAAAGAACATTGATTGTCTAGGAAATTGCGTGTACAACGCCCCTATCCATTCTATCTCACGAAGACTGCGCAGCAAAAAAACTAAGAAAACTTCCTGCCGTCAATCCGCCCACAAGACTCAGTGACATGAAGCCCCCCGCGGCCTCGAGCTCATCAGGCTCCACCCACTCGGCAAAGCCCATCATACAGTTACTGCCCAGGAACCCGTTTGTCATGCCAAACAATAGCTGCACGACAAACAGATAGAAGAAATCAGAGGAGATAGCCGCACCTTTACCGCCAATATTGCAGAGAAAATACAAGGGTATGAACAAGATTCTTGCAATGGACAGGAAGAATAGTAATTGTGGGCGATGTGTAAGACGGAGAGCGGGCAAAGCAGGTCCGACGCGGCCGATGAGATCACCAATGTTCCAGAAGAAGAAGCCTAGGGGGATAAAAGCAGCAGGTTGAAACAGGCGAGGTGCGGTGGCTGGATCGCGTACACTGAGGACTTGGGGTGTGAAGACAGGGAAGAACATTGTTACTGCGAAGGTAGTAAAGATGGCGCCTGCAAGCCAGAAGAGCTTTCTAAGCAGTCTTGTCAAGGGTACGCTCTTGCGCTCGGTACGATCTGTGTCGTCATATTCGGGGCCCTCGGAGTAAGAGGTACGCAGCAGGCGCTGCTTGGAGCTGTCTCTGGAGAGCAGGTAGAAGAAGGCGAAGAGAGTTGCGACGGAGACGGCGGTGGCAGTCAAGAAGTAAACAAAAGCAGATGTGCTGGACTCTTGTGGCGCACCATCAACATGGTGCTTCTTTGGGACGGAGAGCACGGAGATGATCTGGGTGATGGCTGGGAGGACGCCAGCGATACCCTGGCCGGACATTATGCCCTGGGTGTATTCTTCTCGTCCGAACCCAGATACGTAGGCGAAAACGCCGTTTTGGCACAGACCTGTGGCCAGACTGGCGATCATGACCATGACCATTAGGAAGGCAAAGTAGACGCCGACGGATACATCGAGGAACAGTTTTGTAGATATAGCAAGCAGTGTGAAGACGATAGCGTTGAGGGCGAGCGAGGCGATAATACGGCGGGGGTAGTTGGCACGGGCTTGTAGCTTGGTCAGGACAATCATGGAGCTTAGGTTGCCTACGGTGGAGACGGAGAGGATGCCGGACTGGAAGTTGCGGAGGAGGCTGTCGTTGGACTCGAAGCGGCGCTGGAAGTACGGTGCTGCGGCTAGAAACATGTTCCTAGGCGCGAGTTAGCCGCATGTGGGTGATGGGAGTATCTGAAGACTTACCAAGCCCATAACATGGCGACTCCCAGCAGGGTGAAGACGGCATAGTCGGTCCATGAGAAGGCCTGCTCCTCAGCATCGATATGCTCGCCATCAGGCCGCTCAGAGCCACCTTGTAGTGGTTCGTACGACGCCTCCGGTTCTTCGCGCCCAAACATCTGGCGCAAACGCTCCATGGTGTGTTGCTATATGTATCGCGCTCGCGGTGTTGTCGAGCGCCTGGGGCGGAGCTGCGGAGATATGGAGTTAGGGAGGTCTTGATAACGAGTCTACAAGTACGGGGTGTTTTAAAAGGACATGCACACGTTCACGAGGTAGATGTGAGAAGAGCAGACATAATCAGGCAGTAACACAGGCCCTGGTTGGACTCATGATGGCGGCGCGTGAGAAGCACGTCGAGGAACGACAGCAGGTGATGCGGTGATGGGCAGCACGGACGCGACGCTAGCGTGGGGCTCTGCGTGGGATGGCTGCTAGGGTTTGATGTCACCTCCACCCCCGCCCTACCCCTCCGATTCGCTGCGCTGGCTCAACCCCAAAAGATTCTATACAGACAGTACTCCAGAACTCGGCCGTATACCCGCCAAGACCATTGCTCTTCACATAAGCACAACCGCCATGTCGTCGCATATGCCTCCACAGACCATCTCGGTCAAGCGCAAACGTACTGAAGCGCCCGTAGACTCGCTGCGCATCGATCACGAAGTCAAGCGCCAAAAGAGCCAGAACCTTGATGCAGGCTTCAACTCTGAGCCAGAAGTTCAATTCTTCTTCCGGCGACTCACGAAGCCAGGCGATGATGCTCACCTAGCTACGGCCCCACCGACACCAACCGCCCAGAGGCGTTTCCGCCTTGACCCTGTATCGAGAATTGGGGCCAAGAGACATTTCGTCGAGGAACAAAAGTCTTCGAGAGATGAGAGTACCTTGGTTGGGGGCCAAGTACAATCACCGGCATCGGAGTCTGCACTCGACATACCATCACGACCGCGGAAGAGACCTGGGGCGGGGAGCGCACTGCGGAATGCATCAAAGTCAAGCATACAGAGACAGGTCCAAGTGTCTGAGCCGTCTGAAAAGGATGTGCGTAATCTTGAGGCACTTTCAAAAGAGGTGGAGAAGATAGACAATCTCAAGATCCCCTTGCCCTCAACATCACCATCGAAATACAAACCCAAGGCCCCTGCAAAACGATTTGCTGAGCGTCATCCCGAAAAGGCCGCAGCGCTATCATCACACGATAACGAAGCTACAGATGTAGACGCAATGGACGTAGATAGCGAATACGTTTATGACCACTATGTGCGCGAACCCGTTCTGCCGGATGCACCAGCGCCAACAGGGAGTGTGGGACTGCTGGTGATTGGCGAAGAGGACGCAGACTGGTGGGACAACGAAGAAGGCAGCGACCGAGAGTTTGACACGGATGATGAGGATGAGAATGCAGAAGACTACTACGCTAATGACTACCCGGAGGACGAAATGAGCGACGACGACGAGTTTGACCGCAATCTGTACAAGTCAAAGTACCGCCATGGTAGCGATGAGGAGGAGTACGATGTTGAGCGTGATGAGGGTGACAGCGCACTTGCCAGCGGCGAGGACGAGGACGATTTGCATTTCAAGATGACGGTACCAAAGGCACAGCGAGTGGGGTACTGGGGTATGAAGGACGAATGAGGAACTTGATGGACCATCGTATCATCACCATGTATGTACAGGTGTACAAGATGGCTTCTATCTCTTTTTTCCTTGTCCATCTCGCTCCTTCGATACACGTAATGGAAACCTGTTGAAGCTGTCCACGTACGTCGAGCGTATACTTTGGTACTGATCTCGATCAACAAGCCAAGGCCCTTTTTCTCTACCCCACACTCTCAACCTTTTTTGTAGACAATCCTTGTCCGTTTCACACACACACATGCCCCTATCTTAACCAGGATTCATACATGGTGGCATTCTCCGCCCTCCCCACTTGGGCTATTATCGGCTCAACGGTGAGTTGTTAGGACATAGATAGGTTCGGATGGTGCAACCGACTTGCTGAGCCAAGAAAGACGCAGATATCAGTCTTTCTGAGTCGAAATTCGCGCATGTCCAAACATGGTAGCCTGGCCCCTAGTCAGGAGCGCTATTGCCTATTGTAATTGGGGGTATCGCAGCATCATTGCTCGGGTGAGTGTGGTGCGAGGGGACCGAGTGGTGTTTGAAAAAAGGTGGTAGAGGACGGTAGCGCTGCGGGTAGTGCAGCTGCCGTTTCCGTGTCGGGAAGGGATGTGAGGGAGGGACGTGGTGCTATGTTTCAGAGTGGGAAGTCACGGAAGCGTGTGAGTGGTTGCCTCAATTGCTGGGTGGGAAGGTGCGATGGTGATAGGACAAGTAGTCACTGGCGCTCTTCGCGGAATAAATTTTTTCATCCTTACTGTTAGTTAGGCTCGGTACGAGCAAAGTTGCGGTCAAGTTTGATCAAGTGTCGGTCAGGCAATGGATAATTGTCGCCGGTAAGGTGCAGTTGGACAGGGAAGTGTGCGAGACAGGTATGTAGAAGGCTTCACGCAGACAGGCATCGCGACAGGACAGGACGGGCAACGGACCACAATGACGCGCGGAAAACGGCCGTATACGCGCGTAGCCGCCAATTCCTGCTCGCGGTAGCACTCTGGGTATACGGAGCGAGGGCTAGGCGGCACCGGCAAGCGAGGTTGCACATCCATGGCGGAGTTGTTGTCGCTGGCAGTATCCCGACTAGGCTAAAAGACAAGCAAGGCAAGGCGAAGACGGTTGACTTGCCCCCAGACAAGAGTGGTAAGCAGTGCGGGGAATGCAGAATTGGGGGTTAGCAGCAAAGCAAAGACGGGGAAGGCCGACTAGGGCAGAGGCAGCGCGGTAATGGTGGCCCTTGGTAATAGCAGAGATGAGGTGATGTCGGAGTTGCGTTAGTCCTAGGCTTAGGAAGACGACGATACAAATCCCGAGCGCATCCCATTCGCCGTGCGGCCATGGAACCACGCTATCCGGCGCACAATAGATGGGCTTGGCGGGCAAAAGGCGATCAGGCCGCAAAAAATAAAATAAGACAAAGAAAAAAACAAGGAGCAAGGTTCGGGACGGAGGTGGAAAGATGCACAGGCAGTAGAGCAGTTGTGTATCGCCGGATAGGTCGCAGATCGATGGTTCGGATGATGCGGACACAATGAGACAGCAGAGCATTGCGGCCAAGGTTGCGCATTGTGGATTCGTCGAGACCTCTGGCACAGTCGGGACATGACGCCTTTGTGCCTGGCTGAGCATAAACAGGGACAAGACGGCCGGCACAAGTCGCTCCATTTGTTGCGAGACGTGTCACCGTGCCCGATAAGGGGCGGAGGATAGTAGGTAAAAGTCATAGACGGGTGGATGAATGAGGCATGAGGTGGATAATTTGTCTCGTCGCCCCAGACACCCCCCGGCTCGAGCGTTTGTTCCAAGCAGCCTTCTCGAAGCCCGATGTCAGCGAAGAATGCGATGGGAGCCACCGTGCGGGTGTGATTGATTATGCCTCGTTTGACTATTGCGGCACTGGGCCAGGATGCCCATGGTTGTCGCTTCACCCAGGCTGCGCGCGGGCGGAGTCCAAGTGCAAGCAAGATGCACAATGCCGACGCCTTGTTTGGCAGAGTAAAGCAAATGCACAAGGGAGGGCGAATCCCAGGCCGTTGGGATCCGGGGAATCGAGGCCGGAGCTCCACTTACCCCATCCCCCATCCCCCCATCCCTTTAGCACTAGCCTCGCGTGGGGTGTGTGCATCCAAATCCATGCTCCAAAGGAGGAGCGGTCAGAGAAAATAACCATGGCTTGCTCCGTCCGCCATGCTAATGCCCGGATGGATGGTTTATGGCCATGACGATGAGAGGTCATCGTGGTGCCGTCGATGCCGCCATGCTTACGCCCGGGAAACCCAGCCCACCCAACTGTCTTTCTCTCTCTGCGTGTGTGTGCTGTTCCTCTCTGTACTAACTAACTAGCTAGCTAACTTACATCCCATTCCCTCTCTCCCTCTCTCGGAACCGCCCACGTCACGCCGTGGACAATTACACTCTACTTATTGGTTTGCTTCTTCGGCCCGTCTCTACCACTCTGCTCGCCGCCATTCTTTGCAAACTTTCCTGGTACAGCAATCTTGGCTGGTGGACCTCCTGTGTCCTCGCCTCGAATCCTGCAGCCATGATCACCGTCAGGGCATGGCCTGGACTTTGCAACCTGTCGCGACCCATCCGCTTCCCCGCCTGCTGCCAGCGCCCTTTGATTCACGTCCTGATACACTCTTGTCGTAACTTTTTTTGCTTTTAGCTCAAAGCGTCCTTGCCGTCCCAAAGGGCCCTGCAATCCTACTAGTCATGCGAGTCAGACCAATATCCCCTTGAGCGGTGAATCCTGTCGGAACTTTGCTCCTTGCCTTGTGTATAAGAGAAGCGCCCCCTTCCACGCGGTCATTGCCAATCTTTACACACTACTACACAGTCCTGCCAAAAACATCCCCCTTGACTATCTGACTCGTATCTCGCTCCCTCTCTCTTACACAAACTCTTACACAAACTCTTACACACACACGTCATCCTATTGACGCCTTCGCTTGTTGGACAATTTACCCCCTGGCCAACCCCATAGCTGCCAATACATACCCTCGCTTCCACCTATCCAAACAAGACGTGAGTGTAACCCTGCATCCGCCTCCACGCCAACGCATCCACCGTATCTCAGCCCTGTGTCGCATCCCGAGCCTTCGGCAATTCACCTTGGCAATTAGCGTCTGACTCATCCCTTTTTTAGATTTCCAATCCCGCATCGTGTTCAAACCCAGCCCTCAGCCTTGCCGTCGCACAAAAGCAACACGGCTCATTGCTATATAAATAACTTTGGCTGCCCTTCCACACACACACACACACACACACACACACCACCCCCCAATCCTTGCTTGGATCACCCCATCGCAATAAACCAACATCACCATAAAACTACTACCTATTACCATATCCTGGGTCTTGACCAAATAACGCATCCTACTGCTGCTACTACTACTACTACTACTACTACTACAACTATTTAATCCATCAACACCCACACATCACCGCCAAAATGCTCTCTTCATCAAGCACCGCCTTCAACCCCCGCAAGCGCCTCTCCATCTTCACAAACTCGACTCTGGGCCACGACGTCAGCGCCGCCTTCAAGGCCTCCGCCAACCTCTCTCGCGCCTCGGGTTTCAACGAGACCCCGGCCCCACCCCCATCTCCAGTCGACTTCAGCTTCCCCAGCACGCCCACCGAAAGCCGAAGAGGAAGCACCAACTAAAGCAAACAACTACAAATACCCTGATTCCTCTTCTTCACCATTTGTTTATTCTTCATTATTTCTATCTTTCTTTTTGAATATCCTTCTACCTTGTTCATGTCCTTTTCTATATTTTTTTGCTCGTTTAGCGTGTTTTGTTCTTACGATATCGGATGGAACTCTGGGGGTTCTCGGCGGAATGGGACGGGACAGGACGGGGAGGGCACTTTGGTCTTTCCTTAAGAGGCGCGATTAACCACACTCTCTCCTTTTGTTTTTGTCCTCTTGGCGTTCTTATCATAAACGGGAACGGAACAAATATCTAAAAGGGCAAACGGGAGGTGGGGACGGGTTGGAATATTTTCGGGATATATCTTTGCAGTTTACACGGGCTCTTTTGTGTATCTCCATGTTTATTCTCTAAACAAGAAAAAAACATTAAATTTTGTTTATACATCTTTTTTTAAGTGTTCCCAAGACGTGCGCGATATTGCAAGTCCCTTTGTGACGCTTCATCTTCTTTTTTTTTATGACTTTTGTTTTATGAAGCGCCCGTGTTTCGGGTTGATAGATACAGGCTTTACCCATGCCATCATTAACGAGTCGTCGCGAAATCGAGTGCAATATACGCAGAGTACATACTTATAACAATAAATTCTCAACTCATTAATTCCAAACAAACCCTCATCCAATACGCTTGTGTAACATAGTTACCCGCAAATTCTCTACACTTCTTGGTTATGACGTAGTAATGCCTAAAATTAAACTTCTATCTACTTCCAACATCTTACCCTGGTAACGCAGCGCAACGAATGCAAATGTCTTTGGGAGCCCCCCCCC